CCCCCCCCCCCCCGGTGTTCGCCTCTGGTTAAGTCCTCCAATAGCGCCTAATTTCTGCTCAATTAAGAATTGGCTCAATGAAAATATCAAAGTTAACCTAAAAGATAAGTATCCGATTGATATAATTGATTAAATTTGCTAAGTATTTCTTTCATACTGATTAAAATTTCGATGTTTTTTTGCAACATCCTATTTTAAACATTTTTCACGTAAATAAGACCAAAAATATTTTTGCTGTTTCATAATTTGAACTTTGCACCGGATGATGTGCTGTAGACTTTTTGTACTCAAGAGCCCAAAACTTAAGACAGAGTATCGTAATGAAACCCAGTATCGGAAGAATCGGAATCCCGGTTTCATGAATGGGGTCAGGCTGTTTTGTAGATATTAACATCTTTGTTAAGAAACATTATTTTATGTGGTTTCTTTATAATCTCTTTTTGTTTTCTGTTTTCGTGAATTAAAATCTACGAATATGTAGACTGTAGAGACCACAAAAAGGAAACTCTCTTAAATTTCCGGTGTCATGCATGGAACGGACTCTTGCATGGGACGGACTCTCCCTAAAGTTTTAACCACTTAAACACAAAGTTAGGCTTAAAAAGCAATGTTATGACATTTCCGATATTTATTAATGTATTTTGATTGGAAAACACATTAAAATTATCTATGTCTCGAGTAAATATTAATGGTTTTGATGATTTGATAGGAAGACGACATTGAAGAGAAAATAACTTTTTGAAGGACTAAGTGCGTATTTAATATATGTTAACTAATAATTTGTATTGCTTTTAATGTCTAACATTGTGTTGAAATGGTTAAAACTTTAGGGCGAGTCCGCCCCATGCACTCGAATCCGCTTCATGCACTACACCTGCTTACAGTGTACACGGTGAACAAAGTACAATATTTATTTAAATGTACACAAAGAAAACTTGTTTTAAGTTTTGGGCTTGTCAACGTTACGTCTTTCACGCGTTGGTCACTTCAGTGTATTCGCATATATATAAAACTACACAGGTTTCACCACTTTTATGCAAGATAGTCAATAAGATATCGCAACGAGGCTCGCGCACGAATGAAAGGTCCATTCGGTACGGGGGAAGATCTGTACGTGTCTGACGTCACTGACTATCTATCTATCCCACGTCAGTTCTAGGACCCGTGTCCGATTCTCTGTGTCCTGTACCGGGTTATGACGTAGGCAGCGGACAGACGTTAGAATCACTAGAATTGTACGACTACCTTACCCTGTTCCAGTACCTATGCTGTTATAGAAATGTTGTAGGATTTTGAAAGGGAAAATTGGGACACCTTCATCAAACTTTAAAAAGCGCAAAAGATATTTCGAATTCCAGTTTTATCATGTTTTTATTTTGATCAAGGAACCTGAGTTTGAACGGCTACGAGAAATTCATCACGATACCAGGGTTCAGAGTTTAGCCTGGGGACCTAGAACCTCACAGCTTGTTGCTCCCAGATGTCTTCAATTCGCAACCAGTGGAACAGACCATAAACTCAGAGTATTCAATACAGATACAACACAGGTATACTATTATACATCTAGTGGAACATAGAGTATTCAATATACAGATACAACACAGGTATGCTATTGTACATCTAGTGGAACTGAGAGTATTCAATATACAGATACAACACTGGTATACTATACACCTTGTGGAACATAGAGTATTTAATATACAGATACAAGGCAAGTTAATTGCAGTTGTGTATACTCTACGTACATACCATCATGCAATATTATTTTGTATTTTGTGTTTGAAAATAAATACTATAACTATATTAAAACAAGTTCTCTCTGGGCGGAAATTGTAAACAAGAATAGATGCATCAGTGTTCGTTTAGAATCCGTGGAGGATAAAAGCATTTAATTTTGATAATTTTGATAATTCACGTAATAGTTACCTTTAACCAGAATATTTTATTGATTTTTTATGTGAAAGAGGAATCCTATGTTAGGCTGTGAAATCCGTCTTGTGTTTACATTACCGCCCATAGACAGTGCACTGCAGTACAAATCTTGTGGAACATAGAGTATTCAATATGCAGATACAACACAGGTAATACACCTTGTGGAACATAGAGCATTCAATATGCAGATACAACACAGGTAATACACCTTGTGGAACATAGAGTATACAATATACAGATACAACACAGGTAATACACCTTGTGGAACATAGAGTATACAATATACAGATACAACACAGGTAATACACCTTGTGGAACATAGAGTATACAATATACAGATACAACACAGGTTCTAGTATTCGACCGTGGAGCATTAAAGCAAATAAATTTTTTTTTTGGCCAAATTGTCAGATTCCGTGCAAATTACTTGGTATCTATGTAAATAAAGTATGAATCTCTGTCTGTTTGTTTGTATGTTCTAAGATTGTTTTTTTTATATAGTAGATTGAATATTTTAGAGAAATAATAGTTTCCAGACAAAGCTGGGTTCCCAAGTCAGTAACATAAATTCTGTTATTATTTCAATTTTGTTAGACTTGTTTAATTGTTTTTTATCTTTGAGAGAGTTTACAGAATAACAATTTTGCGAATATTTGAAATTGACAGCGGATAAATAGATTTTATTCGGAAATATATGTTTCAGGTGAATGTGAAGCTGTTCAAGGGTCACAGCGATTATATAAACGGTATTGTATTTGAACCTGAGTCTGGAGAACTAGTTGGAACCTGCTCAGATGATCATACAGCTAAACTCTGGGATACCAACTCAGGAACATGTCTTCATACCTTTCATCTTACTTCTCCAGGTTATATCACCCTTTTCAACAGATTTAATTTTGAAGCAAATTTTTTCAGATTACTTTATTTTTAACATGGACAATACAATTTACTTCTGATTTTTTTGTTTTTTAATTTCTCAACTCTTCCTTAAATCTCAAGCATGGTTCTTAATCAAATTGTTAAGGTGCATCTTATCTCGATCGTAAAAAAGGTTAAAAAATAAACATTGAGAATTAGTAAAGTCATTTCAAAAGTTATCATGTGGTAGTAGGATATCACTACAAGTCTTATTTGATTTGATTTGATTTTAATAACAATAACAAATTTTTAATTCTATTTGTCAGGTATGTCAGTGTGTTGGCATGCAGCTGAGACTGGTAAACTATTGGTAGCCCAGAAATCTGGAGTTATATCTCTATTTAACAGTACAAACTATGCTCCGATTCTCTCCCTAGACTGCTGTAGTTCTCCACTACTTGGAGCTGACTGGTGTCAACCCAACAGCATGCTAGTTGCTGCAGCTGTATTCTCAGATATTGTATATTTTGATCTCTCAAGGCCTAGTCTACCAACAGAGCGGAAAAGTCTGCATGGGGAAGGTGCTAGGATGGTTAAGTTCTCCAGGGCTGCTGATTCACTGGTTGCTACTATCGGTAAACCTGGAGCTAACCTAAAAGTTTCTCAGCATAGAGCCGGACTTGTGATTGTTTCCAACCAGAAGAAGATTGTTGGTGGTGGGTGCAGCTGGCATCTTCGTTTACCTTATCTGGCAGTTGGGAACGATAGAGATATTGATCTCTACAAGTTTTCATTATAATCTTGAACCTTTACCAATTAACAATGCTCGGTGTATTTTTTATATTTACTTTTCCAATTTTGGAATTAAATAAAAGTAAATATTTTTATTTTCAGATAAGATGGGGTCCCGAGGGATACCCTGGTCCCTGGCTGATCAGGCGGGTTTAGTAGTTCTAGATCTACTCTATAAGAAAGCGTATTCTCTAGAATATGATTACATGGTGGTCCTCCTGGAGGGTCTACCACACGATGCTCAAACATTTGAAGATAATCTTAATCTGTCAGACTTCGACCCTGCCGAGGTCATTCTCAAGTACTCGGCTAAACTAGAAGAGTATAAGACTGAAATAGGGAAGAAAAGAAAGGAATCAGGCAACAAGAAACACAAACTATTTAATCCGGACAGCTTACACAATTACGCATTTCCTACCGTCTTGAGTAGAGAGCATCCTATCCCTGACGGTGTAGATCGAGACGAATATATTAAATACAGGAAGTGTTTGTATTTTGACGGGATTAGGCAAACTAGAGAAGAACTGGTTTCTCTCCTTAGTCCTCCCGCCATAGATCATCTACACCAGCTCCTGGTCAGTATATACAGGAGAAACAAGGAACCAGTGGAGAAGGGGGTGTTCACACTGCAATCCATACTCATGACAGAGTTCACATCATCCTTCCTCATCACATCAGAAACCTTTTACAATAATTATAAACAGATTGGTGGGATAGGTTTCAGAAATATTGATACTAGGATGGGACCTACTATAATTAGGTCCTGTCTCCAGGATGGACGAAAACTAACCAACCTGGCGCTGGAGAGCGTGTGTACGGATTCCCTACTGGAGGTGGTGGGTCAAGTAGCAACCAATCTCAAGTACCTGAATATAAACCACAGCTTGGTTACTGATAAAGGATTAATCGACTTGGTCGGGATAAAGCTTGGTTCTACCGGAGTAAGACCTAAGCTAGACCGAACCTGTAAACCAAAGAATTTCCCAGTAGAGAAAATTGTTAAGAATACAACTCCGCGTTGGATCAAGATTCCGGGGAAAGGTGCGGTGAACCTAGTTCACATCGAGGCGAGCAAGTTAAACAGAATTCAATGGCCGACAGAACACTGCTCATACACTGAATATATAAATGTTCCTGTGGATTCAGGATTCGTAGCTCTTCTTACCTACCTTCCTAAACTGAGAGTTTTCATGACTGAAGTAGGCGGTAAGACTGTTCAAGCCTATATCCGAGGACGACAGAACAGAAAGAAGTATAAGACTGAACCCCTACAGCTTGAAGTATTGTCTGAGACCCGACCCACCACGGCAATCCTCGACTGTTTGGCGGAATATTGTCCAAACTTGACGGAATTGCATGTGGATTGGTCGGAATCGTTTGGGCAGCCCATGTCTACTCGGGAAAAATGGATTCCCAACCTTGGAAAGATCTCTAAACTATCACACCTGAGAAGCTTAAATGTTGATTTTCCAAGCAACAACCTACGTGATACTCTGCCTGTTATTGGAGCTAACCTAGTCAGTCTTCATCTACAGGTTAAACTTGCAATTTTTAACTTGTTATAGTACTTGATTTGGAACATTTTACTCCTCAAATACTGGATTTGGTCGGGTCGGCATTGTAAATCGAGCTGATGGGAGTTCAGGGACTGTCGTAATTTTAAATGACCTTCATTCTTTGTTTTTCTAGATTCTGAATCAAACAAAGCTTTAAGGGTAACATTCTTAATCAAACAAAGCATTAAGGGTAACATTCTTAATCAAACAAAGCATTAAGGGTAACATTCTGAATCAAACAAGGCTTTAAGGGTAACATTTTTAATCAAACAAAGCAATAAGGGTAACATTCTGTTAATCAAACAAAGCAATAAGGGTAACATTCTGAATCAAACAAAGCAATAAGGGTAACATTCTGAATCAAACAAAGCTTTAAAGGGAGTGTTCGCGAAAAATGAAAGGGGGGCTTAATGCGATATAAAAGCGCTTTTGATCGCTACTAATCTTACTTCTAGCTGTTGCGTCTATAAGGAGAAAATTGTTAAAAACGACTAATACCGAAGAACGTAGTGTCCATACAAATTCAGAAAGATGCAACATACGACTTGGACCGTAAAAAAATCTATTTAATTTCAAACAAATTATTCAGATATTACAACCTATAGTCATCGATTATCTTTCTTCAAACAAAGCAATAAGGGTAACATTCTGAATCAAACAAAGCATTAAGGGTAACATTCTGAATCAAACAAAGCAATAAGGGTAACATTCTGAATCGAACATGCCACACGACAAATAAAGTCACAGTTTACGTCTACAGTCTCTTAAAGAATGGCAACATTTTTTTTGAAAAGTAAAGATAATGATTTTAATTTCATGCGAATCAATATGATTTGCAGTAAAGATTCAAATTTCAAAAAAAATCTATTTTATATATTTGCTAAAGTGGTAAGCAATAAGCATGCTGTAATCAATATTTATGGAAATTGTTATGAATTAACTTTTTTTTAATGAAAATTATGAATAATTATTCGATAAATATTTTTTTTCAACATACATCTGCATAAAACATCTTCTGTTTAGGATATTATGACTTTCCGATACAGCTTAATAAAACAAATCAAAGAGAATTGTTTAAACCTGGAGAAGTTCTGTTTTATGATGACGAGCAATAACTTACTCGGAACCGGAGCTCATATAATAGTAGATAAGGACGTAGATCTGAGGTTGGAGAACTGCTCTAGGACTAATCCCAAGAGACTGTTTTCCAAGTTGAAAGAATTACATCTGGTTGGACCTCTAGGTTGTGATTTCGTCCGGTATACGCTCCACGGTTGTAATCATCTCACTTCTCTCACACTGGGTATAGAGTGGCCAGACATAACACTCTGCAACGTACGTCCAATCTCTAGTAAGGATCTCCTTGGTGAAGAATTTTTAAATGAAGTGCGCGGGGTAAACAGTCTTTCGGAACTAGAGCAGATACATTTCTTTGCTCAGCACAAGCGGGGCACCACCTGGTTGACAAAGGATTTTGCCATGTTTGTGGCCTCGGAATTCAAGAATCTAAAGCATTTTGGAACTTTCAAGTTCTGGAACTTACGTCATTTCGATATTCAGAGCCTTATCAAGTCGATTAGACAGATCAACAAAACCATCACGTTCGACGAGGATTTTAGCGAGGGAAGAAGAGATTGGATGAATGGGTTTATGAAGGATGACGAGGTAAGGTTACGCAAGAAACCTCCCCAGGATATGAGTAAGCTTGCTTGCAGCTGGATACCTTTGAGGCAGGGTGGAAATACTCTCAGTATACTGGATGAGGTAGGATTTTGGATATTGTCGGGAAGGGGTTAACTTTGGGATGCAAATTCTCATTCCCTCCCCCTAAATCATACATTTTTTTCTTCCTTTGCAAAAATTGTTTTTTTAAGTTTCAGTGAAATTTTTCAGTTTTCTTAGAAATTTCGAAAATCTTCCTTCTTATTTTGGATATTTTGTTATTCACTGTATTTTTGTGATTACGTATAAAAGTAAAAAAAAAACTCAAATATGCATAACGTTTATTAGGTAACTGATATGTTGGTTGTACCTGGAATTATCTGGGGAGAGAATGATGAAGATGATGAAGAGGATGATGATGATGATGATCTTGAGAATGAGGAGAATTCAGACGACGAATCTTCTGACTTCTCCGACAATGAGAACTTCGTCGTGGAGAATTTTGGTCTGGGAGGAATCCAGGATCCTTTCTGTGTTATCCAGTGATAAATATCTTGTCAGCATTATTTTCTATCTTGTCATATATTCACAGAATTTTTACATTTCTTTTCTAATTTCATGTATTTTCAGAGAGATGTGAAATGTGCCAAAAACGTTCAACTTAGTTCCCGTAACACTTAGTACAATATTTAATAGAAGAGAAGAGAGCCATGTACCTGAAACTAGTAAACCTTATCTTAATCTCCGCTGCTCAAGTGTCATCCTTCCAATCTCACTCAGGTTATTAAATATTAAGAAAGAATTTTGAATGGAAAACTGAACTAATAATGGATTATCATAAAGATGACAAAAAAAGCAAACAGATAAAAAAAATATTGATGTTTATTCATGTTAATTAATTAATTTTGGGAAGTCCTATCAGCCGATTAGCCACTCGAAGCATGTTTATTATAGGAAAAGATTTAATGTTTCTTTTTTTACTTTTTGAAAAATTTAAGAAATAAAAAGCATTGTCTGATTAATTGATTGACTGATACATTACACGTGAACTGTTTCAGAATCACATGAACTGCAGATAGCCCAGGGTAAACTGCAGTACGATGTTATCTCTGTGGATGCGCAAATGCCACGCTATGGAACGTGCTGGAAGAACGCGCTGACCAGCCTTAATAATGGCTGTAAGAGATTGGACGATGACATACAGAGCCGTCTAGCGTTGAACTTTGCCAACTGTTTCTTGGAGAAGGCTGGTTTGGAGACTTATCCATGCGAGAAGACGGATACAATCTCAACCTGCTTAAAGGGAATTGATAATAATGCGTTCACAACCTTCTCCAATTTCTTCACACACACTCAAAACATGTGCTATTTCTTACAATCACAGGTTATTAAATTAAAAATCTTTTAATAATTGATTTTTAAAGCTTACTTTCCACAGCAAAACCTTCCTTAAAAAAAAATTAATTATATGACACGACTTTATTTCTAGGTTTGGAAAGAGGAAACGGATAAAACTGTTGAAAGGTTAGCTGAAAACTCTGCCAAGGTTAGCCGCGGGCTGGAAATATCTCACAAGCTGCAGTCTGATATCTTGGAGGGTCAGCAGGTTACACTGGAGTACCACAAGCAGCTGGTGGAGAACGGAACCTATCTCAGCCAGGCCATAGAGGCCAGCAAGGATAATGTTAAGGAGATGTTGATCCAGTTCAAGACGAGTACAGACGAGCAGAAGAACCTGATATTTGAGGTGTTTGACCGAGTGTCGAGGTTACAGAATCTAGTGGTCTCCGAGGTTAACTGGTTGTATACAGTTGTGTTCTACGGTGCATGTCTGGTTGTTATATATATTGTGACAGCTACCAAAAGGACTGCAGACGCTAGGATTATTCTCTTTATTATCCTCAGTATTAATCTTTGTATGGAGAGAATAGTTTGCAACTACAGTCTTCCAACAGATCACACCAAGGTATATTTCATTAAGAAAATTATTTTCTCAAATTGTAAAAAAAACTTAGTTTTCATTTTTTGGAAAAATTGAAATATTTTCTTAAAAATCACAGATGTTAGGGGTCAAGGATCTAAAATTATGACCCGGGAGCCTTTTAATTGAAAACGTGTTTCTAATCAAATAAACTAATTTTTTGTTAGGTAGTGAACGAGCTATCTGAGACTGTTTATGATAGGATATGGTTAGTTCGACAGATCGCTATAGGAAAGTTAAATATTCTCTATTAGCATTCTTCGTGGACATTTTGAACATGTCCATTAGCCTATATCAAAATCGGTCAACTTAACGTACAGAGAAGAGTGGTAGCTAATGAGGTGCCCCAAACCAAGTTTTATTAAACAAATTTCTTTTGATCCTAAGGGTCCCTGCTCGGGGACCAGTGCTTAGAATCCGGATCCGTTGGATCCCGAAGATTTTGGCTTCCTGGATCCGGATCCGCAAAAATATGCTGATCCACGGATCCGGATCCAAGGGGTAAAATATCAACCAAAAACTGCAAAAAAACTTTTTTACTCCTAAAACCCAAATCTGAACTTTTGAAAAAAAAAGAGAGATTTCTGAATGGATGTATGATATGTCTAACTGTCTAGTTATATATGTCTGAGTATGGATGTATGATATGCCTAACTGTCTAAGTATATATGTCTGAGTTTGGATGTATGAAATGTCTAACTGTCAAGGTATATATGTCTTAAACTGGATGTATGATATGTCCAACTGTCTGGGTATATATGTCTAAGTATGGATGTATGATATGCATAACTGTCAAGGTATATATGTCTGAGTATGGATGTATGATATGTCCAACTGTCGAGGTGTATATTTCTGAGTATTGCATAACTGTCAAGGAATATATGTTTGAGTATGGATGTATGAAATTTCTAACTGTTTAGGGTCATAAAAAAAAGATTGTTTAATAAACCTGTCCTTTAGCACCTCATTAGCTACCACTCTTTTCTCTACCAAAAGTTGACCGATTTGATATAGGCTACTGGACATCCTGATTAACAGGGGTGTATATTTACTTGAAAAATTATTAACCCCCCCCCTCCTCCTCCTGAGTTAGTTTAATTAGGATTTTATTCGCTCGCATTGGAAAATAAATGATTTCAAGGGAAAAATAAATAAGTTGTTGGGTAAAAGATATTAGTTGTTGGGTAAAAGATATTAGTTGTTGGGTGAAAGATATTAGTTGTTGGGTAAAAGATATTAGTTGTAGGGTAAAAGATATAAGAGAATGATTTGGGATTAAAAATTATTATTAACTGTGTTTTGGGTGTATTACACTTACAGTAGGTAAATAGGAATAAGAACTTGGTAAATACTTTTTCTTTAATATTTGACTGTACTGCAGGGGTTTGTATCCTGGTACTCGCTATCTATGGTATGAAGTACAGGGACTACAATATCATCAATAACTCTCTTCTTCTGGAGATCAAGAAACAGAATCTGGAACTTAAACGTTCAATGGAGATGTTTCAGGTCAGGATTAAATTTTAGAAAACATTAATAATTACTGGATTGTTTCTAGGGACCCTCCATTCTAAGAGGGAATGTCCGATTCACTCCGATACCCTTGAAATCATTATCTGGTCATTAATGAGGAAGATAGTGCTATTTTTCTAGTTTATAAAGTGTTTAATTATTATAGTTCCTACAGTATAAATGCTCAAGTCATTTTAGTAGAGAAACCAAAATAACAAAGAATCTGTTTTCGATATTATAAACATGGACATGGATATCTAATTCATACTTGATCAGACAAAGTTTTTTTTATAAAACTGGGCAGGGTCACTTAAAGTTACGCTTACAATCCCTTCAAGAGAGATTTATCATCTTGTCGTTATAAAGAATTAATGAATATATGGAATAAGACGGCTGATTAAAAAGTTGATTTTATTGCTGTTAATGTTAATTTGTTTCTGGAATAGAATTCCCCTCTCCCTTTATCCCATATATTTGTATGGTTGTAAAAATGTTCGTATGAGATTAAAAAAAAGTGGTTCAATTGTTTAGGTTGGAAACAGAAGTATGCGAGATTTCCCTCAGGATGTTATCGACGGAATTAGTTCATCACTACATCCAACCTGGGCCTCTATGATGGCGGAGGATACAGGGTTCCAAGGGGACGAGGACGAGTACTCAGACGAGGACAGTGATAGTTTCAACTCCACCAGGACGGATACAACCTTTGATCCGTCCCGATGGTCTGATGATGAGTTTGAAACAGCGGAAAATAGTCGGGAGAACTCGGGGAATATTACACCAACAAATCAGGTAATTTTTTAAAAGATATCAAATAAATCTGTTTTATATTTAAAGTCGTTTCATGTAAAAAATTAACTTGTTTTCAGGAAATAGATTCTTCTCTCGAGGCTTTATCTGGTCGTGTTCTAACCTCTGTAGAGAACTATCCGTCTATCCTGGACTGCTCAGGGCATTCCGTTAAACCAGTCACTCAACCATTCCTTACTCCAAGAATAAAACGACCCCGAACTCCCCAGAGCAAAACCTCTACACCTACTCCGGACAGGGAGAGATACAACCTGAGATCCAGAACTCCGTCCTCTGGGAATCTAAACTCGAAGATAAATGAAGAAACTGAGGAAGACTTCGCGCTTCTGGTTCGAAAACAGCTGGGGACTTCCAAGAGAAACTTTGCAAAATGGCAGCTAGCTCTAAAGAAACAAAATCAAGATTTCTCATCCGATGAGAGTTAAAATTATTTATGTTTAATTTCAAATTATTTTAGTTTTTTGCTTATTAAACCATCTTTCATTCATCAATACTCGTACCTGTCAATTAAATAGTTTTTCGTCTTTCAGTTTTTAACAATATTACGCTTACATGAAATTATCTTAAATGAACACATTTTTTATAAATAGACTTAATTCAGAAAACGTTTGCACATTGCAAATATGGTATTATTAGTTTTATTGTTTCGTATTAATTAGTTATTTAGTTTATTTTATTATTAATGAAATTATATGTAATATAAAATGATTTTATTTCAATACGACTATTTTTTTCAGCTAAAATGGCCGAATATAGGGAGGATGATGACTATCTATTGGACGGAGATGACGATGATGACGATTATGAAATGACTCGACGACGACCTGGCGCGGAGGATTTAGATTTGGTTGATATAATAGGGGAAGACGAGGAGGCTGATAAACAGATGAAGATCCTGGATCAAGATTTAGGTTTGTTCAACCTAATATTTTACTGCCTTCAAGCAGTTTTGATCTAACTCGATCTTTTGCGGAACGTTTACTGTAACCTGACAATAATTAAATGCAATAACATATCGGTTCAGCATAGTTAGTTCTAAGAACTCGAGGATTTTCATTTCATAAATTGCTTTATCGGTTAAAAAAATATCAGGACTATCTTGATATTGCTTAAATAAAACAATACAATATAAATCTTATATAAAAGATATATTTGTTTTTGACAATGTTTTGTGCATGTCCATTGTCCACATGTAATTTAATTAGTTTTTCTTTTTCCTTCTATATTGGCAACAACAATAAAATGTTGGATGGTCTTAATTAAGTTAAGTAAAGTATCTTCTGTTTTTAGCAAAAATGTTTTATGCTTACAATTGATCGTGTGTACATAGTGTACTTTACACTGTACGGTCTTGTCGTGTATTATTGTATGTACAATTATACTGTACAGTTCACTACAGTACACACCAAATAAAATTTGTATTACTAGTGGACCTCGCCAGTAAAAGTATTGATATGGATGAGGGGAGTGATCCAGAGGATGCAAACCAAGAAGTAAACAAGAAAAATGAAACTGAAAAGATTGATAAACTGCTGGAAACCCCTCCGGGACTCAATCTTTTCCCTGTGGATCTTTCATCAAATCAAAACGGGTTCAAACATTTCAACCTAGGAAAGATTACAATCCTTTCAAGTATTTTTTATTTTTTTTTAATTCCTTTTTTTTTCCTTTTTTTACCTCTTAAGGTGAAGGAATTCAGATTTGATGCAAAATGATCTGTTTTATTCGTAAGCATAGAGTTTTCAATTGAAATGGTTAGTTTTTTATATGAAAAATTTGTATATAATCTAGAAACGCTCAGCCTTGAGAAGGACTTTGCGTACGGACGACGCGGAAAGTTAAAAGGACACGGATACTCTGACGAACATATTGATGAAATCCTCTCTGATAAACTCACGTTCATCAGGCACCTCATGCCTGAGGCCCAATCTGTTCTTCTCTGCGATAAAGCTGATTTTAAATCAATCATGGACTTCTTATTCTACTCAATAACAGTTTGCACAGAGAGGACACTCTCGGAGCTTCTGATCAAATCTTTCTTTGATTTATGCAAGAATTACGCCTTCTCGTGGAGACTTGATCTCAAACACATTATGACGGTTCTGGACAACTACGGGATAAATCCTAATATTGTTCAGGAGGGAAGGTGTAATGACGTGTTGGAAGAATATCGTATTGCTTGTGGCAAAGGTAAATTTCGGATTAAATTACAAACCTTCTACCAAGACCTAAAACGGAAACAGGTTGAGTTTACACCAGTACCTGGAGACAAGTTCACCTTCTGCCTTTACAATTTCATCCTGTTCGTCTCCGAGATATCCGTTGGTACACCCAGTAGACTGGATTTCAGAACTAAAAATGATTGGAGTGATCTTTGTGTGTTGATCTTTATCTTCAGTCTGCTGGGAACAGAACAGAGGTTTGTCACGAACTACCGAGTATTTGAATCAATCTCCAACATGTTCTTATATCACTTTGATTCCATCCCGGCTAAATATTGGTACTGTGGATCAGACAGAGAGAGTTTGACCGAGAAAAAGAGACACAAGTTCACGTCCTTGAATTTTCCCAAGTTTCTGGCATTAATGATCCATGAGTTCTATCCTGGGGAGCGAGGATCAGATGTAATGTGCTGGAAACCTGAAACTATGGGGAGATTGGAGCAGAAGACAGAGTTACAACAGAGGTTAAAGGATCTTCATCAGATGGAACATGGTCTTAATATCATTCATAAACTCGAGATGCTTCCCGCCTCCTACCGTGGAAACCAAGTGAAAAGATTCCTAGCCTTTCTTTACATGTCAACATGTCTGGACTGCGCCATTCCTCAGCGGGTAGTGTTTCCTTCTATAGTTGATGTAGCAGACAGTTCTCTTCTCTCCTCAACATATCTTAGAATATTGATGCACAAGAATTATTCCAGGTTTTCAGAAATCCTCGTTATTGTTAAGCTCTGTGACATGATTGTTGGAAACGATCTCATTACAGATTTCTCCAAGGACAAGGTTCCCTCTATCATCAAGGTTCGGAAAGATCTTCTGGAGAAATTAACTAAGAAGCTGCCGAGTACGAGTAGTGCTCATAAGTCTGGAAATATAACAATCCTGTTTCAGCTGAGAAATCATCTTCAAATTGTAATGCAGCGCTGGAATTTCGGCTGTGAATCATCATAAAACTTAAAGAATATTACGGAATGTACCTTTTTATCACATACTCAGATTATTAATTAAAACTTTGATATTTTCAGAAATTTATTTGTAAAATGGAACACAGTGATAGCGAGGATGAATCCTCTCTTACACAGGAACAAATGGAGAAACTGGCTCAGCTCCAGGTACAGATTCAAACAAGTTCGTCCGGCCCTGATAATAAGTACTAACTAAAAGGACTGAAAAAATACAATGAAGCACAGGTATTTAAACGGATAGGTTAATCATTGGTAAAAAAGATTCCCAAATGAACACTAAGAACACTTCCTGTAGCTACACCTACTCTACCGCCCTCATTCAAACCTATGAATTAACTTCTATCTTGTCATGTCAATGGGATGGCAAACTTGTTTTAGATGTTCAATAATTTAGTGCTTAGGATCCGGAAGATTTTGGCTTCCTGGATCCGGATCCGCAAAAATATGCGGATCCACGGATCCGGATCCAAGGGGTAAAATATAAACCAAAAACTGAAGAAAAAAAAATCTTTTTACTTATTTGTTAAAAAAATTCAGTAAATCTTAAGGAATTGACCTTGATCCGAATCCATTTTTTTCCGCATCAAAATTAAATGGATCCTAAGCACTGCAATGATTACACATCAAACAATATATTTTCATCTTGTTTGTTCATTGTAGGATCTAACGGGGATAGAAGATACAAATATATGTCGAGCTCTCCTGGAGAGTCAGGGTTGGGATCTGGAGAGTACAGCACGGGAGCATCTTGGGATACAATCCATACCCAACCATGAGGATGATCCTCCCCAACCTCAAATACAAAACCAGGTTAATAAATGATTTGTGACAAACAGTCCATTTTATGTGAAATAACGTGCAATTGAATTGTTAAATGTCACTTCTAGCTCCGTAAAGGGAATTTAAGCGTAATGTTAAGTGTTCATCAATGCAAAAGAAAAGAGTGCCCGATTTTCAATGGTACCCTTTAAACCTCTGACTGTTCATCGAGTAAAGAGAGCTCTGTGTTGAAATCTCTTAAAATCCAAAAATTCGAAAGGTTTCAGAGCATGGTTGGGGAATATAGCATTGCCATCTTTGCATGGAAAGTCACTTGAAACTACGATTTGATGTCTAAAAATTCCAAAAATAACCTTTGTAACTGACTCGAATGTAGATCTACGGCGATAAGCGATTATATCACTACATGGAAGATGACTTTTTAAAAGGTTTTTATTGTTAACAAGCTTTTTTCGTATTAGAAGTTTACCCGTAATCAAAGAGAATCTTTTTAATTGATAAATTCTCTTGACTCCTATGTTCAAGTGTATCCATGCTGTTTAAGAGCATAATTTATTTCAAAATTGAATTCCAAAGTCGTCTTCATTGTATTGATATAATCGCCTACCACTCTAGGAAAAGGTTTAAAGGGTTTGTCTAAATTTTACTGTGACGTATTAGGACAGCTCGGAAGCTATAGAAACTATTTTTAACAATAACAAAGATTGTAAACACACGTATTAGGTTTCCTGGGCAGGAGGGTTGGGACTTTTTAGTCATTGTTTAGTAAAGGTTGTTTGTTTACAATAAAACTAGTTCTGAGCTATCCTAGAACATAATAATAGAATGAAATCAAACCCTAGCTACCTCTACCTAGTTCTATTACTCCTCAACCTGGCTCATTTATTTGAAAGAATCCTAAAATTAAGGATGGTGAAATATTTAATTTTTTTCTATACTTAGGCTAGAGAAATGCCACGGCCTCAAGAACCTAGAGCAGTCTGGAGGCGTCCTGCAGGATTATTCAACCTTTTCTTATTTGTCGTCAGTTTACCTCTACGTATATTCACAAGCGGAGTAGACGGAGCTCTTAGTTTTATTTCAAGTATCTTCGGTTTCCCACCAAGAAGATCAGACGCTGTCATTGATCCTGTCGGTGATGTCAGGAGATTTAGTAACGAGTTCAATGAGAAGTATGGTTCCAGTCATCCTAGTTTCTTTATTGATAGCTACGCCAAGGTGCTGGAGGAGGCGAAGAAGGAACTCAAGTTCCTACTGGTTTACTTGCACTCTGAAGACCACCAGGATACAGACAGGTTTTGTAGGGACACCTTGTGCAATTCTCAGCTTGTCAATTTTCTTTCTGAAAACATGCTGTTTTGGGGATGCTCAGTTAGATATTCAGAGGGATATAGAGTTAGTGAGGCATTGAGAGAGAGTTCGTATCCATTCCTTGCAGTTATTGTGCTCCGACAAAACCGAATGGTTGTAGTCGGCAGACAGGAAGGTTGGATTTCTCCTGGTCGGTTAGTTGACTGGTTGGAGAAAACAATTCGAGATTTCGAAGCGTTTATAGTGGCGGCTAGAGCTGACCGAGACGAGAGGAATTTCAACCGGGAAATCAGGAGTGAACAGGAGGCAGCCTTTGCTGAAACCCTTCGGCAGGATCAGGAGAGAGAAATTGAAATAGTAGAAGAAGAGAGGAAAAGGTTGGAGCTGGAGGATAACAAAAGAAAAGACGAGGAATCAGAGAGAAGAAAACAGGTGGAGGAACAAGACAGAAAAGATTTACTCCGGCGAATGAAAATAGATTTGGTCTCAGAGATCCCAGATGAACCTGGGACGGATTGTCAGGATTCTATCCGGATTCTTATCAAATTGCCGGAAGGGCAAAGATTAGAGAGGAGGTGTGTATCAACCGTTGACTAATGGATTTAGATAAAGAATTTTATTTTTATTTTCTTATACAATCTGTATTTGAAAATATATATGTATATTTTTTAGGTTCCTACCCTCACATTCTCTTAAGCATATTTACTACTTCGTCTTTTGTCATCCAGACAGGTAACATAATCAGTTCCTTGTATTTCTCAGCCAACATGTATTTCTAATCTAAGAGATCTATAATCATTTTTGATGTTTCGATATTTTTTTTTTTTTTGATCCTTTTGATTGGTTTTCTTTAAAAATTTTACTGATAATAAGGGAATTCTATCTGATTCCTGGACGAAAAGTCTCTATTTGGATGTTTTACTTTGATTTATTTTGGATTTTTTTTTTCTGAAAATGAGATGAAAAGTCATTTTCCAGTTTTCCGGTTTTCCAATTTTCTAGTTTCTTATGTCGTTTTTCGTTGCTTTAATTTCTCTTATATTCATATAGATGAAAAGTCATTCAATTGCAACTATGTTTGCAATATATAATATAAAATATTTTTAAATTACATATTGCAGTTTTGTTCATGTTCACAATTTTAATTTAAAGATGAAAAGTCTGCAGCTACGCTTGCAAAATTATTGGATAAAGTCTTTGATTAAACCTTAATCAATGGAGAGCTCTGCTAAAAGCAACTCATTACACAGCAATAGGTACGAAGATAGAATGAGACAGTTTTTTTCTCTCTATGATTCTGCAAATGAGAATGCAAATTGAATAAAGTTGTTAAGAAGAATTTTTAATCTAAAATTACTTTCAACCTTCATAGACATTAAACAACTAGACATTTATTGTAGAATTCAAGTAAAATTCCTCTGCGGTTAAAAGTGCGAGAATTAAAGTCAATCCTTTAAAAAATATTTCTTCTATATTTTTTTAATCTATACGTCTTAATTCAAAATGCGTGAATACATGTATTAGTATTATTCTGGTACAAATACTCTTTCTCGCTTGAAAAAGTGATGCGTTTTCTCTAAAATAAACGTTGTTTCACCTTGTATCGTACATCTGTGATATTGTGATTTTAAAATGTCTTAAAATATAGTTTTTTGCATTTACAGTTTACTACCGGAAAACTAGCTTTGTTTATTTTAGTCCGGACGAGTTTGATATTGTTTATTTTAGTCCGGACGAGTTTGATATTGTTTATTTTAGTCCGGACGAGTTTGATATTGTGACAAACTTCCCTAGAAGAACTCTGGAGTGTAAACCTTCTCCGGGTTGTCCCGACCCACCAACTCTGATGGATGCAGGGTTCGGTAGATCTGAGATGCTCTTCGTCAACGATCTGGACGCTTAGGAGACAATTGATCTCTTTAATAGGTTTAATTTCATACGTGTATTTGCGATTTAGGATTTTAATTTATGTATAGATTAAGTTTAAATTAATAAGTCGGTTTTTATTCATGACATTTTTTAAATTGTCTTTAGGATTATGTAAATATTGGGCTAGGTTAAAAAAATTACGTGGACACAATTTGATTCACCGACAAAAAACGACACAGGGTCAAACGACAAAGGGTCAAACGACAAAGGGTCGAACGACAAAGGGTCAAAAGTGCGACAAAGGGTCAAAAGGTCAAAATGATAAAAATATTTTTTAATTTGAATCATAGGAAACTCGCAACCCTCATCAATTTTGTACATGGATCTTATATGTTAGACATGGATATAATTGACCATGTGGCCGCAGCGCTCGGCCTCCTAGCCGCAGCGCTGGGCCCAGAAAGTGTCTTAACTAACCTAGCCTGTGGCCGCAGCGCTCGGCCCCCTAGCCTGTCCTAGCCGCAGCGCTCGGCCCAGAAAGTGTCTTAACCTAACCTAACCCGAAATAATAATAAATAAATACTTACTGTAACAGATATCAAAATTTAAAAGAAATTTGCCCCTTTGTCGCATTTTTTGACCCTATGTCGTTTTACTCTTTGTCGTTTGACCCTTTGTCGCGCTTTTGACCCTTTGTCGTTTGACCCAGTGTCGTTTGACCCTTTGTCGGTGAACCCACAATTTTAATGTTAATAATTTTTCATTGGAGGGGCTCTGTCCTAGTAATCCCCCCCCCCCCCACCGGTTTACGCCCGTTCATCAATTGATTATTCTTAAAATGTAATACAATTTTCTATTGACATTCTATCAGTAGAAGGTGTATGTATGTCTTTCCTGTAATTGATACCTACGGTTTCTAAAATGTTTTCTTATCATTTAACATGTACTGGTACTGGTCAAAAGTTGATATCTTAAATATTTGGTCTTCGGTTTATTTTCAATTTTGAAACACCTGGTTTTTTCAATGTCGTCATTTAAGTTGCTAATCTTGTTTATTGGGATTCGCATTAAATCTAAACGAAGACGACCTGAGTTTAGTTTTGATAGTGTTCAGCGGAATTTTCAGTCACACCGCGCATTCCTGCTTCTGTCCACACGTGGAGAGCATTTAGTACTTCCAGAAAATTTGTTTTGCTGGATTCCTGATTTAGTTTCGAATGTGCTTTTGAGTTATTTAACAGTTACACAGCGTCTTATTGGGTTCATTGTAGTTGCAGAATTCAATGGTTTCCTTTTATGTTTCGTTAAATATATAATTTCACAAACTTTTTGTTGCGGTTTTCATGTGACGTCATTTTAGATTGATTTACTTTTGTTGCAGAAGTTAAAATGAAGGTTGAACTGTGTGCTTTCTCCGGGTACAAAATCTATCCAGGTCATGGCAGGACCTTGGTTAAGATTGACGGCAAGTCCTACAAGTTCTTGTCCTCTAAGACCCAGAAGGGTCATGATCTGAAGAGGAACCCCAGAAAGATCACCTGGACTGTTCTCTACAGGTAGATTTCCACAAGCCCTGAAGCCGAGTGACCTAATTTCATAGAAACGCTGTTTGTTTATTCTTTCTTGCGCTTTTCACCGCACTGGTCCCTTTATTACATTTTAAATGGGAGTTGAATTTGTCTGAGATTAACGTCAACAAATTTAATGAAACATGTTTATTTATCTAAATCATTTTGCCGTGTTAGTCTTCCTACTATCTCAGTATGTTTTCCAGTAATTAAAAATAAAAGATTATAAGTTCCAATAGATACACTTCATCCTAAGTGCTTGTCGCGTTTTCTCCCATTAGTATGTTGGCATATTTGTTAGCTATTTACGATTATAGTAAGATTTTACGGTTCAGTCATTGGTTACTTCCTAGAGAACGTTTTTTTTGGACATGGATCTCATGTAAAACATGGAAATAACTGGTCTTGTGGCCGCAGCACCCGGCCCCCTTCTCTGTCCTATACGCGGCGCTCGGCCCCCTAGTCTGTCCTATAAGGACTCTTGTTATTAACATTAATAGTGCCTTAATATTTTCTCAGGTTGTGTTTCTTCCAGGACAGGCGAGGGGGCCGGGCTTTGCGGTTACCATGTAGTAAATTGATTAGTCCACAAATTGTTCTCTTGTAAATTACCGAGTTTTCGATAAAAGTTAAGATTAAGCCCTTCCAAGTATTCATATTTTTGCGTTTCCCATGTTGTTTCTATATCTGCATGCATTTATTTGATTTCTAGGCGTAAGCACAAGAAGGGAATTGAGGAGGATGTTACAAAGAAACGTACTAAGAAGACCCAGAAGTTCCAGAGGGCTGTTGTAGGAGCTTCCCTCACTGTAAGTTTGAATATTTTGTTTTATGGAAGTTCTCCTCGATTTTCGAAATGTATTACATTTATAGTTTGTCTTATCATTAGTTGTCCCTATTCGTTGAAAACACTTCATGAAAGTTATCTTTAGACCAACCATTCCATTGCATAAAATGGCAAGTTAATACACTCAAGTGGGGGATTCCTAGCTGAAGATATTAACCCTGTTATATACATGTTTGCTCCAGTATTAAGGTTAAATGTAACCTTTTCCAGGATATTCTGGCCAAGAGGAACCAGAAGCCCGAGGTCAGGAAGGCCCAGAGAGAGCAGGCCATCAGGGCTGCCAAGGAGACAAAGAAGACCGCTAAGGTTAGTTACCAACGAATCATTGTCAAATGCTATACAATTCACATCCCAGAGGTCAATATTTTTAAGTTTGATGCATTGGAGTAAACTCTCAACCCATAATTAAGATTAATGCATTTACACCAATTCTTCTAGTGAACGTATGATTTAATCTTTTAATATACGCCTCTGTGGCGCATCCTTTGTATTCGTTCCTATTTGCCACTGAAGTTCCTTTCTAAAGTCGAGAATAATCCTTTGATTGTGAAGTTTGCTTGTTGAACTTTGGGTCGTTATTTTGAACCGAAAGGTACAGGTTCTGTACTCTTTAGTATTACTTTTAGTATAATTGAAATATCATTTAGTTAAACTTTTATATACCTTAATATTAATTTATAATATTTCAGCCTGCTGCTGCCAAGAAGGCTGCCCCCAAGGACGCTAAGGTGCAGAAGGCTCAACAGAAGGCCACCAAGAACGTGACCAAGGGAGCTCCTCGTGTCGGTGGAAAGCGTTAATATCTTCTTTGTCCTGTATTAAGCCTTTCGTCATATTTTGAATTGTCACATAATATTTCGTGATGTTTCAGAAGAAAAAACCACTAAGATGGGTCGCATGCACGCTCCTGGCAAGGGTATATCCCAGTCTGCTCTGCCCTACAGGCGTACTGTTCCCCAGTGGATGAAGATGTCCAGTGATGAGGTCAAGGAACAGATCTTTAAACTCGCAAAGAAGGGTCTCACCCCTTCCCAGATCGGTGTGATCCTCAGGGATTCCCATGGTGTGGCCCAGGTAATTATATAATTCATGTTTGATTTAACTGTTAAATGATGCCACCTGTAAACATTCCATGTATACGAAGAAATCGAAAACTTAAAACAAGAATTAAATGATTTAAGAACGAAAGGGGTAAATGCTTGAATATTTAGGTCAGGAGTCAAATGTCGGGGCCTAAGAACAAGCTTTTATTTGAATCGTTAATTCACAACAAGGTGTAGTGTGTATTATTTAATAATTTGTCATGTTCAGGTCCGTTTCATCACTGGAAACAAGATCCTCAGAATCCTGAAGTCTAAGGCCCTGGCCCCCGACCTACCAGAGGACATGTACTTCCTCATCAAGAAGGCTGTCTCTATCCGTAAGCATCTGGAGAGGAACAGGAAGGACAAGGACGCCAAGTTCAGGCTTATTCTGGTTGAGTCCAGAATCCATCGTCTCGCCAGGTATTTTTATACGACATATATTCAGGGTGGCCAAAATGTACGGATTGTACGGATTTTTATTTTGTAACCCTAAAATTGTACGGATTGTACGGATTTTTTTTCAAATTGTACGGATTGTACGGATTTTTATCCTGGAAAAACACCGGGGTTTTTTTTTTAAATTTTCACTCATTTTAGCAAGTTTTTCATGAAAATTTCAAAAAAAAATCTCGTCAAAATGAAGTTAGTTACACTTATTTTCTGCATTCTAAATAATATTAGATTGAGTAACGTTTCAATTGACAATCAAAATTCATTCATAATTTTCGAGATCCTAGAAGTGTTCATTTGAGAATATTTTCCAGAAGTGTTCATTTGAGAATGTGTTTATCTATCTGTCTAGCTATCTGTCTATCTATCTAGCTATCTGTCTATCCATCTGTATATCTATCTGCATGTCAGTTTTTTATCTTTTTATTTATCTGTTTATATATCCTATCTGTCTCTCTGTTTATCTATATGTGTATTTGTGTTATCTGTTTCTCTGTCACTGTCTATCTATCTGTCTCTTCATCAGATCTGAGAACATCCACTCAGGTTTCTTCCGTTTATCTGTAAATCTTTTCATTTTTAGTTCAATATTAACTTTCTTATAATTGAGTGTGCAACCCCTGTACCACGCTATTTTAAATTATATTAGATCCTAAATCTACACTCCACTCTTTCTAATTATAACTTAATTGTTTGGTTGTTAAATGGCCTACACACTTATCTAAACAGTTTTAAAAATTAGAATCAGCGCTCTTTTGTTCTCTAGTTTTCTGGTTCTCCGGTTCTATGGTTCTCTGGTTCTCTGATTCTCTGGTTCTGTAGTCTATTATCTAGTTCATTAGTTCTCTAGTTCTCTGGTTCTCTAGTTCTCTGGTTCTCTAGTTCTCTAGTTCTTTGGTTCTCTTGTTCACTGGTTCTCTGGTTCTCTGGTTCTCTAGTTCTCTAGTTCTCTAGTTCTCTAGTTCTCTAGTTCTCTAGTTCTCTAGTTCTCTAGTTCTCTAGTTCTCTAGTTCTCTAGTTCTCTAGTATTCCAGTTTTCCAGTTTTCCAGTTTTCCAGTTTTCCAGTTTTCCAGTTTTCCAGTTTTCCAGTTTTCCAGTTTTACAGTTTTCCAGTTCTCTAGTTCTCTAGTTCTCTAGTTTTCCAGTTCTCTAGTTTTCCAGCTCTCTAGTGTTTAATAGTTTTATATCTTTGCAACCTTATGTGGTATACTTTTGTTATTATAAGCTGTGAATTCTGCCAGATTAATTAGGCTTCGTTTCAAAAACCAAAGGTTTTCATGTAGCAAAGATAAATGGATTTTAAAATTGAGTTTCTTCAGTTGATCTGATTTTTTCATTATTTCCGGGTTCTCATCCAAGCATTCAAATACCTACAGTAGTGTTTTTACTACCAGGAATATAGGTTGTTTGAGGGAACATCATTGGTTGCTGAGGGGGTGAGACAGTGTTGAATAATAATTTCAGAAATGGTTTTATTTTTCTTAAATGTACGGATTGCAGGGATGTTTTTTCGAAAATTGTACTGATTGTACGGTTTTTTTTTCGAAGATTGTACGGGTTTTTTTTAAATGTACGGATTTGGTCAAAAAAATGTACGGTTTGTACGGATTTTTTTTCGAAAATTGTACGGATTTCCTCTGAAAATGTACGGATTTTTTCAATAACGTTTTGGCCACCCTGTATTTTTTTAGCACATTTAAGCTGCTAAATATAAATGTGATACAGTTTTATAAAATAGTTGAGGGGAAAGTTCTTGTGTAAATATTGTCCCTAATGATTTACCGATCATTCTTCCTTTCATTGACATCTTTGCGCAGTGATACCTTCTAATTCTTCAGACTACTCTTAACCATTTATCTCTGCTCCGACAATACGAAAAATTACTGATTTTTCTACTAAAATCTAAAACTAACGACCTTTTTTTATATATTAATATAATTATCCTATGTAGAGTTGAAAAAAATTGTTAAAATTGTGCGTTTTTGCTTGACGCTATTGGATTTGTTATAATTACACTTTAAAGGCCCTAGATGTACCATTTTTAAAAAGTAGTTAAGCCCTGTAGAGTCAACTGTGGTGGTACGGAAGAGGAAATAGTGGTGGCTCATGGCTACCTTGCGAATAGTTCGTTAACAGGAAATCTTAACATTTTATTTTGAGGTTGAATTGTTCGTGCGCTGGAACCTGTTAAGTTATTAATAAAATAAAACATATGCTTGAGTGAGAACTTAAAACTCCGATCTTAAACTTTTAACATGTTAGCAAATCTTCATACTTATAATATGTTCACAATGCAATAAAAAAGTACTTACATCCGTACATTGTTTGTAATCCTTATACATTTTAAGACTTTCGAAACTTGATCCGACTATTTTAAATATTTTTAAGCTTATTTTTTGTGTGTTAAGGTACTACAAGACCAAGAGCGTCCTTCCCCCTACCTGGAAGTACGAGTCCAGCACCGCCTCTACCCTGGTTGCCTAGTTTAAACAACCTTGATGTGGTTCAAATATATCTTCTGGTTTATCCACAATCTTGAATATATTCAATCTTCCTTCATGTGAAGTTTTATGTGCGTGTGTGTTCTGTAGAAAATAAAAATGTACGGTTATTTTAGATCTCGACGCTAAGGCCATTGGGCGTGTTAAACCACATTTTATTGGCTTAAAAGGATTTTTAATTATTTTTTACTCATCCTTTTCAAAGCTATGTACGATATTCATTTCAAGTTTTACTGAAATCCTTAAACTGAAATAGTTCTGACTTGACTTGAGGTTTTTTTTACAATAAGATAGTGAAAAGTACATGTTTTGAAGAGGTCTGGATGTACTTTAAATTAAGTTAACAAAGCATAGATGTGGATCTAGAAAACCGTAATTTCTAGGATACTGTGGTACCTGCTCATCCGAATTTCATGGTGTTTTACATCATTTCGGATCGTTTATAACGATTTTCGGGGTTAATCGGAAAATTTAGAAAAAAAATGAAAAGTTAAAAAATATACGCCTGATGTAAAAATTTGCATGCATAGAACACTAGGTTTTTTGAGCATTATGTGCGTATTTCAGGGTTTAAACTTTGAGAATATGATATGGGTTTTTCTGTACATCAGGTCATATATTTAATCTAGGTCTAGATGGAGTTGGATGTTGTGCTAGCCAAGTGTTAATGGGTGTCACTTAACTTAGTGTGGAGTTATTTTTCCTAACTGTTGTGTTAGATTTACAGGGAGAACCAGAAATCTGCGGAGTACGCTAGTGACATGGTTCAGTTTACGCTGCAAAATTGCTGAGTCATGTTTATTGTGCTTCCAGATTTTTTGGCTCTCACTGTATTCACACAGATTTCATCTTTAGGGCGATCTTGAAGTTTGTGCAAGAAAGTTTTTAACAAATTCCAGGTTTTTTGGCTCTCACTGTATTCACCCATAGATCTTAACTATAGGGCGACCTTAAAGTTTGTGCAAGAAAGTATTTAACAAATTCCAGGGTTTTTGGGCAATGGAACAGTTTTCATTAAAAGTCTTCCCTAATTGCATCAATTGCATAGAAGACTGTGTAAGGCGCGGGAGGGATCCCCTGACGCCATGAGCCTCCCAGATTTGATGGGCATATTCAGCCTCTACTATGCAGACCGTGCCTCTGCTATTCAGTAAATGAGCCTCTACTCTACAGCACAGCTTTTTTTAAATCTTGGTTTTTATGTGTAATAATAAATTTAACATTTTTTTTGACGTAGTTGCATAGGAATTTTACTTAAGATTAGAAATACTTTTTGATTGTCATGATTAGAAACATATATGGACTCATAAAGTGGTTTATAAGATTTATACTAAAACTTATTTATGATAATATATACTTCTAATCTTTGAGAACCCTCTCCTGCCACTATGTCGACAGAATTGTCAAAAACATTTTATTATGCATACGAAACAAGAGTTTTAAAAAGTACTTCTGTATTGCGCAGGCTCGTTTACCTGCATAGCGGAGGCTCGGTCTGCATGGCAAAGGCTCGTTACTGCTTAGCGGAGGCTCTTGTCTGCAGGGTTGGAGGCTCATTGCGTCCGGGGGTTCCCTCCCTCGTAAGGCAAGAAGCCAGATGTCAAGCATGTTTTCAACAAGTTGATGCTACGAAGTAAAAAAAGAAAATGTGGGACAAAGAAACGTTTTAGACAAATAAGGATTTTAAAGATTTTTTATAAATCTTTAAAATATACGTGATCATCTTTTTTTCAAAGATTTGGAAACATTCGGCAAGGTAAAATTTAGGGAGCTAGTATAGTTTTGAGGCTGCCTAAATGGAATGAAAAACGGTAATGTTACATCGTCTATACGCAACATCTCCCGTACTGAACCTCTGACCTTATACTGCAATATCGGTCAGCTGTTTCTTTTGTATTATTTGAGAGACAATTTCTGGTACGAGCGCTGCGGCATTAATCAAGTTTAAGATAAAGATCGTTACATTTAGTTTAAAATTAAAACATTGCATAATGACGATTGATGATTCCTTTTAATGTAAACTGCTTGACTTGTTTTCCCCCCAAAAATAAATTTTACTTTGTTTCTAACGTGGCTTATTTTTGAAAACATTGTTGTTTTGCATTAGGTTTTCTTTTCCTTAAGTGCTATTGAGGAGCTATTCTGAAATGTAATAGTTGTCTGAATACTCAAATATTGTGGCATGAAAGACCGAACTGTCGTGGCTTATGGCTGCCGGAAAACAAAAGCTATTGCATGAAAGGGGAAAATGTTGTGGCTTATGGCCGCCTGCCTTCCCCCGCTCGCGTCATTGAAGGAAGGCAGCCTCAAAACTGATTCTTCTCCTAGGTCAAATCTGTTGTTTAGAAATCTGTGAAAAAAAGATTATCACAATATTTTTAAAAAATTAAACATTTCTTCCATTGTTTCAAAGAAAAACTTTTCACCATTACTCTGTTGATTCAGTAAACATAATAAAAATCTGCCGTCCTTATCTTTGATTGGCTTTTTTGCAATTGGAAAAGACTTATAAATGTATGAGCATTTTTCATTTGCATTGCATTGCCAGGAAAACCCGGAATTAGTTAATAAAAGTTGTTCGCATAAACTTATTCGAGTGGCATTAAATTAAAGGTGTAGTCTAAATTTTTATAGCAATGTCTTTGATTATAGTTCTAACCAAAATTACTCATGGGTCGGAGGAGTGATGGTTCGGCCGCTGTGAGCCTCCGCTACACAGACCGAGCCTCATAGTTCTGCAGTGCGAGCCTCCGCCATACAGCACATCATGAGTGTCATGATTAGAAACTGATATGGACTGAAAGTGTTTTTTTTAGATTTACACTGAAACTTTGAACATTTCTTACGCAGAAAGGAAGATTTTTGCAGAAATATTTCTGGAGTAAAGTTAGTTTGTATTGTTGTAATCTTTAATTTAAGCATTCCTTTTTTTGGAAAAATTGCCAAGATTAAATAAATTATTAAAATTTTCTAGATTTACAAAGATTTACAAAAAAGGTATCACTTAAATTAAAGATTATTCAGGATGAAATGAAATGAAATTCAAATTAATTTCCCGAGGAATTGGATTGCATATTAAGTTAGACAAAATACCTAATCTTCACTTCAATCAAAGTTCTTCCAAAGAAAAGGTCTAAATTAATTTATTTAAGGAGTTCACTGTGTAACAGAATAGAAATAAGAACAGTGAAAAAGTGCAGCTTATAAGTTTAAACTTAACATAACATAGGTATGAATGGGAAAATTATAGAGGTCCAAGTGAAAATTCATTTTATTTTGATATTGAAAAGAATTGCAAATAATTCACCACGACAGCTTTCTTTCGTTCTGTGTTTTTTGAAGATTTGAATTATCGGTAATGTAGGATAAACAAATTCTAGAGGGGGGGGGCACGGTGGACTGGTTAGGGGGTCAGGGGACTGGTTATTTATCTTGTGTTTCATGAGAATGGACAAAATGAATATATTCTGATAATCTTTTCATTTACAAACATTGTATCAATTGAAGCTTGCATTGATTTTTAATGATTTCAATTTATAATTACTTTTCCTCTTCATATATTATTCAAGCTTGAATGGATCCTGTAATCCCCCAAAGGTCATATTTGTTACAGCGATTATTTCGGAGAAAAAAAAAAAAAATATGACATTATTTTTTGCCTAATTATATTTTACTTTGAAATCAATTTTAATATAACATGACTCCCATATACAGGGGGGGCGGGGGACATTCGCCCCCCTGACAGATTCAGGGAGGGGCGTAGCCCCCCCTGAATTTGGAATATTTTGTTCCTATTTTCAGAATAGCTTCTCAATAGCATGCTTAAGGGAAAGAAACCCTAGTGCAAAACAGGAAAAATATCTGTCTTATAAACTATAATGTGTGAAAAGTTTAAAATCTATTTTTTTAGTCTTTAGTCATTAATTTTGACTCTTTTTGAGTCTTCAGTCAAAAAAAAATTTCGCCTGCAGCGCTATTTTTTGTTCCTAATTATGAATTTTTTTGTTCCTAAAAAATCTTGCCCCCCCCCCCTCTCACTTAAATCCTGTATCCCGCCCCTGCCCATATAATATTTGTATTGATCTTTGGTATCAAACAACTGAACAAACAATGGAATAAGACATTCTAAACTATAATTCACCAACTGTCATATTTCGGGAGACACCCTGTAGCTTTTTTCATGAAATTACAGCAGATTCAGGATAATCTAGATATATAAATGTAAGTATTTTTTTGGTCTCAAATTCGTAAAAATATCCATTTTAAGGGTTTTCTAAAAAAATTGCTTAAATAAACGGTTTATGATGTAAACTCAATTCTGCTGACCCCCCTGATACCATGTAGTGTGGGGGGGGGGGGGCTTTTACACCCTCCTCCCAAATATGAGGGGGGGCCCCCCCCCCCCCCCCCAATTCCCCCAATACGTCTCTCAGAGGCATGTGACATCTGTGACATTTATGTCGAACAAAATCTTAAATAATGAAGAAAATTGCAGACCTTTCTAAACCATACCTTACTATTTTTGCTGATACTGTTATTTTTCATTGCGTTATTTATTACACTTTGTCTAAATAATTGAAAATTAGATTCATATGACCTAGCTCTAAAGGAAATGACACGCCCTTCCTTGTTCTTATAAGGACCGCGTACTCTCAATCAATCAAGACCAACAAGTTGCAGAAGACGAAGACGATCATTCTTTCGAGTCTAGAAAACCGAGTTCCTGCTGTACACTTTGATTTTGAAGTTGCAACAGAACAGAAATAGCACTAGTGGAGTTTTCACAATGTTTCGTGTATTTACTTGGATACACTTGGGAACCAAACAGTCATGTTTCTCCACTTCTAGTTTACTTCTTGGAGGGGTTAAAATGAAAAGAAAAAAGCAGGCGTTGCGTGCAGATAATCCACATTTACCCATTCGAATTTTAGAAAAAACTAGCAAAGATTATGCACTTGCAAATTTTGATCAGTACTACTCACAATTCTTCGGTAAGGAATGGAACTCTATACGCCTTGCTTTGCTTAGTCGGCAGAAACATTGTGCCCTTGTGAATAATTTTGCAGATCCAGAGGTGACCGCAGTTAAACTCAAAGAATTGGGCTGTATTAATGTTACAGAAATATTTAATCAAATAAACGATACAAGACCTAAGCCTGTGGTTACCAATGATATCCCCTTAAATGAAGAGATAGAGCTTCCTCCTGAGCAATCTGTCCCTATATCGGAGGTGGTAGAGGAATCTGAACCTGATGATCCATGTGTCTCCTTAAACCCTGACTCTGCTCAACAACGATATATTGATCCTGATGAACTAGTGGTCGGTGATGGTTCTACTTCAATGTATGATTTTGTCCCAACTAGTCGGCTCAAGGGAATGGAGGATTTTATAGAGGAGGGAGAATATTACGACAACTACCAGCCAATAGGAAATCAAACAATTCCAATCAAAATCTGTAATAATATTAACTTTCCGAAGCATTTACAAATATTTACATTTCCTCGGAATGTGATGGATAGATTTCCGCCCCCGACCCCGGGGCTGGAAGGAAACTTGAACTATTATTGTATGGATGCAGGATCTGTGTTCCCTGTTTTAGCTCTGGACGTGAAACCAGAACAGACGGTTTTAGACATGTGCTCTGCGCCAGGAGGGAAGGCTCTGATAGCCCTGCAGACGCTTTATCCCCGGAAAATCGTCTGCAACGACATCAGTGGCCGGAGACTTTCCAGGTATCAAAGATCTGTCTAAAATACCTAACTGCAGATCTAAATCATCTAATAATTGTTGCTTCTCTACAAATTTGATAATCTTTTCATTTTTCCTCAATTTTAATTGTTTTCCAGGGATAGTAAAATCATGAAACATTAAAACATTATTTGGAACCATTTGGGACATAATATCAGTGTTGATACAACGTTTGATTTTATGAAGTATGAAGTTTGAATATATATTGAAGAAAGGACATTTACAAGATTGTAAAGTGTTTTGTTTCTAGAGTCGGAAGTGTAATGGAGCAGTACTGTGGAGTAGGTTCAGGAGTAGGACATGTTCGCGACACTGTCGAGTTCTCCAAAGGACACGGAGCTGAACTACTTGAGTACGGAGTGTATGACAGGGTTCTCTGCGATGTTCCATGTTTCTCCGACCGCCATTCAGTGAATAGTGAAGACTTTAACATGTTTGCAATGAAAATGATTAAGAACAGACTTAATCTTCCCAAGGAGCAGTGCGAATTATTAAAGGCGGGCCTGCTTTACCTGAAAGTGGGGGGTAATTTAGTATACTCCACATGTACCTTGTCACCTATACAGAACGAAGGGGTGGTGAACATGGCATTAAAGGCAATATGGGAGGAAACCACCTACCAATACGTTGTTAACGATCTTACAGATGCGCTCCAACCTTTTAACTCTATTTGTAAAATACATGGAGAAAAAAAAGGTGTCAAGCTGGGAAATCTTATCGTTCCACATCTCTCGAATAATTTTGGACCAACCTACTTTTGCAAAATAACAAGGGAATCATAATTTTTTCAGATAAAATGTCTGACGATGATCGTGGCGGAGTTTCCGGAAAAGAGAAGGATTTGGCGGCGGAGGCTTTGGTTCATTTTAACAATAACGAGTACAGCTCCTGTCTCGCCTCCTTGGAGCAGCTAGAGATTCTCCGTCCGTCCGACGTGAAGCTGGCTCATAATAAGATAGTTGCTCAATGTCGCGCTGAGGGGAGTCCTGTGCAGCTGACGGAGGTTCAGCAGCAATTGGAGGGATTGGCCAAAACAGCAGGTTTATATTATAGTTTGTTTACTTGAAAATGTCGTTAAAGAGAACAAAATTTAAAAAAGATCGTTTTTTAATATCTGATAGTTGAAAAAGATGAGCCTGGTAAATTCTTACCTAACTATATAGCGAACCACTTTCTTGATCGACTTCAGAGTTTTTATCAATTTTATAGTATCACAATAACAACCAAAATATTACTATACACATTTCGTGTAATCAATTTTCATGATAAAAGTTGGCGTATTTTAATTATAAGATAAATTTTGTTAACTTTAAGAAATATTTGTAGACTTGGTCCATGATTAATTTTCCCACGGGATATATTCAGGATCTGGATCCACTTCAATAGATTCCAACTTGAGACTGCCTTTTTTATTTTTCAGTGGAATGTTAAAACATCCAAACCATGAATAAAGAACCCAAACTGAGTTAACTGTTCTAGGAGTAGATGTGTCTGGAGTAAGTAAAGATGATGAAGGAGAGTGGGGAGTTCTAACTTACAACCTGGCTGTTTGTAAATTCCAGCAGAGACATATTCTTCAGGTTCCTTAATATTTAATTAAGTAAACGATGAGATTTTATTGATATTTTACATAATACATAATATCATGATGTTAAAGATTCAAATCTTATGGCGAAAATTGTAAATTGTATTACTAAGGTGAGATGTTGGATGTGCATCAGCCTTGCCACTGGGCTGCTATACAGTATTCATGAGTTGCAAAGTTTTTTATTTTATTTTATTTTCAAAGCTAAATATGTTTGTAAATTAACACGTTTCACTTTTATTCTATCCTATTATAAAGCTTGGTAACTAACCACTACTAGGATGATCATTTTGGTATTTTATAAGATAGTTCAATGAAGGTTTTTTGGGGAGGATGTTTCTTGTCTGGTTCATTGGATCCATAATTTACCAGATTCTTAATTCAAAATAGAACTGGGATGTATATGTATAGCAGTAACCCGTCCATAGGCTGATGATGAAGGATTCTTCTAAGGCTTGATACGAAAGTAGAACCTAACCATTTCAAAATAATTAAAATTTATTCTGTTTTTTCAAGATTTTTACTTGTTTGATTTACCCTCTCATTAAATCATCCTCCTGATGCTACTTATTTTTATATCTCCCTCCCCCCCCTACCCCCTCCAACCTTGAAAACACTGATGATCGATGAAATTATTTTTTAGGCGTCCCAGCTTGCTTCCCGTCTTCTCCCCACAGCAACAACTAAACCAATGTTTGCTAAACGAAGTCTGTTTCTCAACGCAGAACTTTCTCTTGCTCTCAGACAACCTGAACAGGCAGCAAAATATGCTAATATGCTTCAACCTCTAGTAGAAGGTATAGTTTTTTTTAATTAGGTATTTGCAATTTAGTTTCATAGGATTAATTCTGAATGTTTCAGGAAACGACGAGGAATGTTCAAGACTGATGATTTTAAAAGCAAGATGTCAAGTATTGAATCGTCAAATTAAATCTTTAAAGAAAGAATTAAAGTCTGTGAGTCTTCCAGGAAATGTTGGTTTAACCTGCGAGTTTGTCCGATCTCACATAGAATACCATTGCGGAAACTTTAGGAAATCAATCAAGATGCTGAATTCAGCAGTTCAAGCTGCTGGCAACAGGGTCTTCCCGCACTATTATAATAATCTAGGCTGTATCCATCAGAATATGAAGAAACCCAACCTAGCAGTTTACTATTTCAAGAATGCCCTGGAACGGTTGGAATCCAACCAGGGCGGAACTTCTATACCAAACCAAGCTGACGGTGGCAAGGAGTCAACTAGTTGGATAGCTCAGTCTCAGGTTCTTTATAACATCAGCCTTGCCCTACTTCATGCTAAACGACCACACATAGCGTTCGATTTGTTATTAGACGTGGTAGCGTCTCATTATCTGGATCCAAGTGTCTGGTTTCATCTGGCAGAGTGTTGTATCCAGCATAATCAACCAGACAATGATAAACATTTCAGTGGGACTGATAGAGCAGAGCAGGTGTCTAGCGGAGGGGTTGGAGCTGGAGCCATGCACAAGATTATAGCATCTAATCCAAGCAATACTGTTTCTAATACACCTGGTACCGTTCCTGTCCTTTCCTTGGACTTTGCTTACGTTTGCCTAAAGAACGCGGAATCATTGCTACCTGAGGTAAAAAAATAATAATCGATTTTCTCGATTTCAAAACAGAATGTGACTATTCACTCACTTCTTATATCATTTTTTATGTTTTGCAATATGCTGATGTATCCATTATGCAAAAAAAAGCTTTTCAAACAAAATTGTTTACTCGAAAAATTTGCCTTTTTTACAAATTTGCCAAAATTTGAAACTAATAGAAAATATTTGCAAAAAACAAACCTAAAACGATAGTTTTTGCTAGGATTCTGATTTGCCCTTGTATTTACTCCTAGGATGAAAATAGTGGAAAGTTCTTACTGTTTTTTTTTAATTTCAAAGGTTTTTATTATGAAAATTGTTAAGGAATCACGCTGCATATCTTAATGTAATTTTATTACAGGTTGAAGGGGATATTGAGAACTGGGGATTCTGTTGTGGAATAGGATATATAGGAAACCCTATGAGCAGAACGGATATAGAACAGCTAAAGATATCAATCCTCTCCGCTAAATCCTACGTTGCCCTAGCTGTCGGAGATTTTGTGCAAGCGGGACGATACGCGGAGTCCTTGCTAGAGCTTCCTAACCTCCCCGGAGCTTACAAGATGTTAGCGCATCTTTACGCGGCAGAGTCCTTGATTTTACAGGATAAAATAAGCGCTGCCATTAAACATTTAGATCCGGGAAATATTTGTGATGTAAACGTGAACTTTGGTAATGATTCTCGAACCTCAGTTGGCTGGAGTCCGAGTGATCTATCGGAGGCTCGCTCGTATATTCAATACAACCTGGCTGTAGGGTTCGCGCTCCGAGAGGAGTGGGAGAAAGCGGATTGTTTGGTTGGACCCTTGTATAACAGAAACAGCGAGATAACTGTTCAAGTTCTACTCCTAAACCTATATATTGCGCTAAGACAGGGAGATTCAGAACGTGCTGTTCAGCTTGTCAGGGATAGATGTCCAGCCGCAGATTATTCACAAGATCATCAAGATTTCTCAAATTTTCCCAAATAAATTTATATTTTTATTATTTTCTATTAAAAAATGCGTGAATATGAAATGAAATTAATAATATTGTTGTTAATTTTTAATGATGAGAGTTAATATTTTTTTTTTCGTTAAAAATTCAGATTGTTAATTTGCGAGGTGCACAATGTCATAATAGTATGCCTAGGTATTCTCCAGACTAAGTCCTCTGGCTGGATTGCGATGGTTATATGGTCCTCTGGATCGCGATGTATATACGAGAAATCTTAGGTCTCGTCATATTAAAGATACATAAAAATCTGTTCTTAAATGTATCAGAATATCTGACACAAATGGATGCTACAGAAACTGGTATTGTAAGAGAACCGAAGAAATGAAGAAATTTTTGTAGTCGTCCTTGTTTGTCACTCGTACGATCATGCAGAGCGTCCCATTTCATATTGGATTATCTTAAACGCCGAAATACGCACAGAATACTTTATAGGTTCTTTTTTTTTATTTTTTTTTTTATTTTAAGTGATTCTTCCTTTTAAAACTTTTGAGTTCCCCCAAAAATCAAAATTTTGAATTATTCATAATCTAATAGGTTTTGGGACGCGGGATGGAAGGCAACCTCCTCCCCCCCCCCCACAGCTTCCGAGCCTCATTTTACCTATTTGTGGCATTGCGCGTCCCCATAGGGCTTCCGATCCTCTCCAAAACAGTGTGTCGGGAATTTTCTTCCATTTATAACCGTCAATTTCTACTTAAAGCAGGACTAATTCGATTATTTAAGCACGCTATTTCATCCATTGAATCCTTAACATTTTCATAATTTTTTTTCTTTCTCTTTGACAAACAAAGTTCGGGCGGGAAATATCAAAACTTTGTAGATTTTGTTTGAATCCCCACATTGCTTCCGAACCGCGATGTTTGGAAGCAATATGGGGATTGGGGATCCTTCTGTTTGCAGACAAGAGCGTAGTATATAATTATATGAAGTTTAACCTTTAAAATAATGCATTAAACAACAATAAAGGCCATTTGCGTTAGGCTCAAATTAAAGAAAAAAGTAATCGTCTTTAGATCTATAATATGTATTTCAAATCTGTAGGGCTTGTAAAAAAAGCCCTTATGGTTTTTAAATCTTTAGGTTATAACAGAGTTTTCTTTAAATATCTCTAATATAACTAGAAAGAAAAACAGTCCATTTACGCGAAATTTTAACTTAATTTTACTAAAATTTTTGATAAGATATTAAGAGCTTTTAAATTGATTCTTATGATCTGGAATACTTAAAATATTTCTCAAAACGAACTAAATTTTGTTGGGAACCCTACTTTTTAAAAGCTATTCCTAAAAAGTGGCCTATAGCTATTCTATGATGTGAAAAATTATCTATAAATTTAAAAGCACATTATTTTTTCTGGTAAATTAATTTTGTGCTTTATCAGGGAAAAGTATATAGTCATAGAAATTCCTGACGCCAGCACAGAAATTTAAAAATTTGTTTTAATAAATTAAATTGATTGACGATATCATAAATGGAAATATGTAAAATGAGGTTGCCTTCCCCACCTCGTGGGACACCTAAAAATGGCTTCAAATCTCCCTCTTTGCAGTCTTATCAAAATCGTTTAATTCCTTGAAATACCCAATCTTTAAGGATACATAAATTCATTGAATCTATTTTGTCCTTTAATATTACACATTAATTTCTAATTTCCAACTTTTGGGTCACTCGTTTTTAGTTCCGAGTCTAGAGTCTTCCAATTTCTCAAGGTTAGGTTTATCAGCGGCAATGCGCACCCCAGAGTATTAACCTCATCTTACCTCCTCTCCTTACAGATTATTTCAAAAATACATTTTATATTTGTCTCATTGTATCGTATACATCAAAGTGAAATTAAATGTGTTTGTGAAAATATGCTATTTTGTAAGATATTGTATTTATAAGTAGATATACCAGATCTCTATGTCTCAAACTTATAACATCATAGGTGACTAGACTTGTTGCCCTTTTTTGTCAGATTGAGGACATATGAGCGTTGGTGCCAAATATTCGGGGTCTCCTAGAGAACGAGTTTTGGACCCCCCCCCCCCTTTCTATCAACTTTGAACATGACCACTTTTTTCTTCAGCAAAATTATTATTATTTATTTATTATTATTTTAGGGTTAGGTTAGGTTATGACAATTTCTGGGCCGAGAGCTGTGTCTAAGACAGACTAGGGGGGCAGGTGCTGCGGCCACATGACCAATTATATCAATGTGATACATATAAGATCCATGTACAATATTGATAGGCAAGGGAAGGGGTCCAAAAATCGTTCTCTCGGAAATTACAAATATTCTCTCTTTGTTGGATTTTTTGTTTCATTGAAAATAGTTTTTTATTTCTCATATACCGGCCTCTTAGTAAAAAGTAGTTTCATATTTTGTTGAAATGTTTGCAATCTAACAAGCTCTAAATAGACTAATAAATGTGAAAGAGTATATGTTTGTTTGATTTCAATTTCCCGGTGTAGTGCATGTAAATCGTTCTCTAGGACAGACCCAACAGCAATGTATAATCATTAAAAATTATTAGTTGACATATATATTAAATACGAATTTAAGTATTTAATGTATTTTAAAGGTGGTAGAGACAAAAAAAGTTATTTCCTCTTGAGTGTCGTCTTCCTTTCAAATTATCAAACAGTTTGTCATTTCCTTGAGATCGATTTTCGGACCCAGATCTAATCCATAAATATCCAAATTTTTCTAAACTTGACTTTGCTTTTTTCTTTCACTATACTATGTACTAACATGGGGATTTTTAAATTAGAATTACATTTTTACAGATTATTTTGCCTCAAATCATGGGTCCAAATATTGCAGTTTTGTAAATTAAGCACTGCACGAATGCTGCGGCCTTGTAAGTCGAATTAAATAATTCAATATTCAAGAAAGATGATACAAATATATTTCAGAATGATCTATGTTTGGTGACTAATTTTCAGTCCGGGCTAGATGGTTGTAGTGGGGGGATGGATCCATCTTCAATTATTACTCAGGTATTGTCATTATTTTTTCATCTTCACATTTATCTTATAATCTAAATTTAAAAGAGAAAAATTGTTCTTCCGATCTGAGAAATTAGTTTTATTTTAATCATATCCCATCAAATATTGGCTTTAAAAATGATGCATTTGGTAATATTGAGTGGCCCTTCTTAAGATTTACATGTCTAATTCTCAATGTCCACATTCTCTATCGAATAAAGACAAAATCTTGCAAAATTTTCAATTAAAGCCTTATTTCTTTTGTTATATAAAACAAGGTCTGAACAACATAACATACGATTTTTTCGCGTTAAACGTGTTTTTTACATGTATTTGACTTGATAATCTGTTAAGGTGAAGAAGGATAGTGATGTATCTGATCCTGGAGCAGACCCTGTCAAGGTTCAACAACCTCAGCCTGACACTAATCATGTTCTCCCGGAGAAAGGACTCAAAAAGAAGAAAAAGTTGTTCCAATCCTTGTTGTGTTGTTTCGGAAAGGGATACGGTCACAGTTCATCCTTACAGGGTGAACCGGGACACCCTGAGACAGTTTCCAATCCTAGTGAGGAGAAACCACTTCTGCCTGAGCTTAAAGCAGAAGATATTAACAAAAAATGCCTTATTATCGACCTTGACGAAACTCTAGTCCATAGCTCCTTTAAACCAATCAACAACGCAGATTTTATAGTTCCAGTAGAGATAGATGGAACCATTCACCAGGTTTATGTTCTCAAACGTCCTTACGTGGACGAGTTCTTGATGAAGGTCGGAGAACTGTATGAATGTGTCTTGTTTACCGCTAGCCTAGCCAAGTATGCTGATCCTGTCACTGATCTATTGGATAAATGGGACGTGTTTAGATCCAGACTATTCCGTGAGTCCTGTGTGTTCCACAGGGGGAACTATGTAAAGGATCTGAGTAGGCTAGGACGGGAGCTCGGTAAAATTATAATCGTCGACAATTCTCCCGCATCGTATATATTCCACCCTGAGAACGCTGTGCCTGTTGTATCCTGGTTTGATGATATGGAGAATAAAGAATTGTTAGACCTTATTCCGTTCTTCGAGGAGCTGAGCCAAGCTGATAATATTTATACCGTGTTAAAGAAGGTTCAACGAACAGATCCTAGTCTCCAGATGGGAAACCAGCAGAGGGTCTAGTTTATTAGGGAACATGCTGCACAATCAACCTTTGTTAATCTTTCCTGTAAACCTAGCAGACAGTTTTAAGGATGCCTGCTTTATCTTATCATACTGATGATATCTTTTGTATACTATTTAATGAACTAAAATTATTTTTATGTACAACCCAAAATGTGCACGTAACTAATGAATTTGTATAAAATTAATATAATATTTCTTAGTAAAACCGATCTACAGTAGATTTTTTATACATTGAATAATCAGTGAGGTTTTCTACGCCTAGCAATATATATTGTTATATCCTGGTTTAATTACTTTGTACATAAATATTAGTTTTAACCACCCTGGAGTTGTTTATGTACTAAAGTACATTTAAACATTAGTTTCATTCCCTAACTCTCTTTTCCACTAGGACATTTTTATCCTAGAATATATTAACAAATTCCAATGCAAAAACTTTATGTAATTCATTCCCCTGATCATCTTGCCTTTTATACTTCTATATCTTTCTGCCTTGAGTTTGAACTAAACAAACCTCTTAATTAAATTGCTTACAATTTTTCTCTCCCTGTTCAAAAACTTTCTGAAAAACTCAAATTTAACTTACAACGTATGAAAGAATGTTCGAGCCAATTCTAGAAAATTAATAAGTTGCAAAAACGACGGATTCTCATTGAGGGAGCATATATGTAGCCCTTTCCTCTTTTCATCCAACTCTACATGTTATTAGAGCAGATATGAAGTAAACGCGCAAAAAAAACCTACAAAAGTCGAGAAAAAAAGGCATAATTGATAATGAATACCCGCACGACCCACGCTCATTATAAAATTTTATTTTTCTCCGTTTGAACTTTGAAAGGCGGGCCGTTAAATAAATTATATACCCCTGTCATACGAGATATCTGTTCTCACAGCAGAAGTTTAACCAATGTTTTCTATATCGCTAAAAATGGTGCTACCCAGGGACTAGGTGTGTGTTTACACCTTGTCTATTTTTACACTTAAATAAAATATTGCTTTTGTAAGGAATGATCTGTTTATTACTGCAAGTGACTTGAGAGAATGGGGTGATTTGTTTAATTAATTTATAATATATTCAGATATAATGGCGGGAAAGATTACATCGTTCTTTAAGCGCATTCCTTCAGTTAAGGTAAGATTTTTTTTATGACTGTTCAATTGGATATTTTACATAAAAGCTTAAAATACAACAGAGTTAAGTGAATTTATAAAAGTTATTTGTTTTCAAAATTGTTCTTTCCCACGCCAATTTATAAACATGATTTCTTTTTGTAGAGCATTTTAAAAGTTAGAACCATAAAATCTAGTTAGGCTTCAGGAGAAACATTCTTTGACATACATTTTGTTTAATTTGCCTGTGTTGCTACTTAATATCATAACTTCAGTTATTGTAATAAGTAGCAAGTAGTAATAAGTTAATGTAAATATTGTCTTAAATAAATGGAAAATCCATTTAAATCTAGTTTTAACAAACTGATATTAATATCAACAATACGTCAACATGCTGTATTTATTTAACATTTTAACTCATCCCGTGATGATGATGACTAAGACAAATAAAATCTCATATTGTTGCTTCCTGAAATAAATAAACCTTATTCTATTCTAAATAAATAAAAATCTTATCTTTGTTAAACGAAAGGGCAAAATCATTATGTAATATCAGCACAAGTTTATATACGTAATACAAGTAAAGCAGATTTATTTATCTATAAAATATATTTAACGGTATATTATATACATATATACCTATATATATGATGAATATAAGCATATAAATGTCTAGAGACCTCTATCTGATCATCCAATGGGTAAGGAGACTAGTCCTGTCAAAGAAAGTCTCGAACCCAACGACGAGAATGAGATCAACTTATTGAACACGTCCCAGACTCCAAACAAGAGAAAAAGAACCGAAAGTGGAGATGTTATGTTGAGCCCGGAGCAGAAAGAAAGAATAAACACCAACAAAACCCGAGCTAAACTTCTCCTTATGTCCAAAAAGCTAGAAATTATCTCTGGTAGCATTGGATTATCGTGGTTCCAAGCTCTAGAGGAGGAGTTTAACAAACCATACTTTAAGGAGCTCAACTCATTCGTCTCCGCCCAGCGAGGACGGGGCACCGTGTTTCCCAGTAGAGAGGACGTCTGGAGCTGGACAACTAGAACTAGTATCCAGGATATCAGGGTTGTCATCCTAGGTAGGCGTGTTCAGAATTTGTTTGAACAATGAGAATTAAATTCTTGTCACGCATTCTCTTTACAATTTTGCTGTATAATCTGCTTCAAAACTTCAGAAAAAATCGTAAACTTGAATATATTAAGCAATAAAACCTTGAGATTGGCAATTTGCATTTGTGGTAACAAAATATACTCAGCTCTGATATTTAGGTCAAGATCCATATCACGGACCAGGACAGGCTCATGGTCTCTGCTTCTCCGTTAAACCCGGAGTAAAAACACCTCCCTCCCTTGTCAACATGTACAAGGAGCTGAAGGAGGATATTCCTGGGTTCTCCCATCCTGGGCACGGACACTTGGCAGGTTGGGCGGATCAAGGAGTGCTTCTACTCAACGCAGTTCTAACAGTAACTAGTGGAAATCCAAATTCTCACAAGGATCAAGGTTGGGAACGGATCACGGATGCCGTGATCAAGTGGATCTCAGATAATAGTGAAGGTGTCGTATTCCTACTCTGGGGTTCCTATGCACAGAAGAAGGGTGCTTTTGTGAACGGAACTAAGCATCATATTCTGAAAGCGACCCATCCAAGTCCACTTTCTGCTCACAGAGGATTCCTAGGCTGCAAACACTTCTCCCAGTGTAATGAGCTGCTTGTCAAGTCTGGAAAGAAAGCTATTGACTGGAATTTACTTCCAAGATAAGCTGTATTTAAACGCACGTCTACCTTGGTACCGAAATATATCTAGAATACGAATTGCATCAAATTAGGAAACTGATTTCACAGTTATCTGCCAAGACTGAAAATTATTAACCGTATATCTTGAATTAGGATATGTGGCTACTAACCGTCCAACCCCAGAGTTCGAGAAGAAAACAACTTTAAATTAAGCTTTATTGTCGGTACAAAGGGTTTCAAACATTGTTGCAAAAGTCGACTATTAAACCACTGTGACATCTTTTCAAGTTAATATCAAGAGTTAACTAACTTGTTATTGTAATCTGCCTTGTAACAAGAGTATCTTATGTAAACATTAAATATACATTAGTATACCTCCTGTGATCACATGTATACCTGAATCAAGAAACCATTTTTTTACTATAAATCAAGACTATTTTCTAGCATGACGTTTTATATTTTTGCTTCGCTAGATTTATAAAAAATCTCATTTAAAGTTATATTTGTAATATTTACTTTAAAACAGCAAACTTCTGTTATTGAATTTTTAAATATATCTATTTCTACAATAAAAAAGAAAATTCGTTAAATACTATTTTTTATAGTTTTTTATTTCAGGATTGATTAATTAAAGATCAAGATGGCGGGAGGGGAGGGGAGAGTGATTGGGAATGTTATTCTGAACCCTGAGGGTGAGAGGGTTGAGGTGGTTCATACTCCGGCGATTAAACGTCCTGAGAAACCTACCCTGAGACAGCGTCCTTGCCTTTACCTAACTAGGTAAGCTGTGAGCAATCAAATCTGAAGTTTATATTTTATAACGCTAACATTAAATTGGGGGGGGGGGGGTTAAGGCATAAAAAGTGAAAACAATTGCAAATTAAATAAGACATAGCACTTCTGAAGATACAACTAAAACAAAATTCGAGATATTCCTAAATCTTGGTTTGGTCCCCCCCCCCCCTTACATATGCATAATCAATTATAGTAAGGAGAAACTGACATTTTTTATATTATTAAGAGTGGAAATATGATTTTGGCCACTTAAGACATTATAGAAAAAGCATGGAGAGCATCCAATGTTTGTATTTTTCCCCATCAAAAAGACTTAATTTTCCTAAAAGCTACGAGACATCTAATAAAACTATTTAATAATAACAGTGGATTTATTCTAACCCCCAAACCTCTGTAATTTTATGTTTACTAATTTAGTTTTGTGAAATCTCTGCCAGTTATCTTTATCTCTGGTATAGTTGGGTGGTCCTACTACGCTTACGTAATCGCTCTTGTTCTTAATGCCATGAACGATAATGTCGCAGAACAGGTAAACATTAATAGCAATCATAACACTAACAGTAACATTACGGTTTAACCGATTTGGTCTGAACTTTTTGTGGCAACTCACATGGCCACAGGGAAGGTTTATGGCTGGGTGAAATTTCCATTTTTTTACGATTTTTGAAAAACCAGGAACTTAAACAGAAAACCCGCAACATTTTTTTATAAAAGTACGATGAAGAAACAACTACATTATACAAGCTAAAATTGTTACAAGAAAAGGAGTGCGAAGCGTCATAAAGGCTTTTTAAACTAAATTGTGAAATTTTAACCTTAAAATTGTTTACAGGTTGTGTGTGCTGTTCTGTATCATATTATTTTCATCCTATTCTTCTGGTCTTATTGGATGACAGTTTTTACCCCACCAGGTAACTATATAAGTATGGACCCACCTGTCATTTTTTGTCTCAGCTTCTTAATTAGAAAATATTTTTTGCTTTTAATAATTTATATTGACCTTCCTTTAAAAAAATGCCTCATTAATAACGGTTTTCTGAACTAAATCTTTGTCTGGGTAAAAATGATCCAGATATTCTTGTTGAAACAGAATTATTAATTGAAATTTTCTAAAAAGTGACTTACGGATTCATGCGAAAGAGTTTAGGAAGAAAATGAAAGAATTTATCTCATTTAAGGGGAAGAAAGTTCCGAACCGTGATTTGGCCCAGACCTGACGCTGAGTGTCAGCTTTGGGCCAAATGTGCAAAGTTATCTTTTTTAATTGTTTATATTAGTCAATTTAAGTCGAGATGTAACGCTTTAATTTAGAATAGTTAAGGCTACATTTTTATAACAAAATTGTAAACCCCTACAAATAAATAAAATTTAGTTTTTGTTGATTATTGTTTTTATTTTAGAACATGTCATATTATTAAAGCAAATGCAAAGTTTGGGCGCAAAACACATTTTGGAACATTTCGCGATTTTGAGACATTTCACCGATTTGAATCAACGATATTTTCTAGCATTTTCACAATTTTGGTAACAATATAAATTTTTTGCATACAGTAGAATTTAAATAATGAAACAATAAAAATGTAAATGATTCATTCTTTTCTGATATTTCAAAATAAAACGACTTAAAACATTGGAAAATTTTAATATTAATATTATATTGTTCTTACAATTAAATGGGGGAAATTTGTTATTGAAAAGTATAATGTGCAAGCAGATTTTAGAATAATTTAGAAGATAATATATTTTTAGTAATTCATGCTATTCTGTAGATTATGAAACTGTATTTTGTCTCAAATTGTTGAATAATTTCAAATTATGGATTTTTTCAAAAATTGGCTTATGGTCCTTAACGCGTCCAAGATTCGAATTCATGATGAGTGCGAAAAGGGTATCCGGGTTTTAATTGAAAATGAACGATCACTTACAGTTATAATTTTAGAAATGAAGTAAATAGTGTTATGTGTAGTTATTGTCGTGCTTAATAATATGTTGGAAATAGTTTTTTGTTTGTTTTATATTTGATCTTGGCACAGGAAGAGTTACTTTAAAAGTTAATCATAAAATGTGTGCCCAAACCTGACACTCAGTACGGTTTTGAACTTTCTTCCCCTGCATTTAAAAAACTGATAAACGACGATATCTTTCCTAACGTAATTGAGGTCCGTTGTGAATCGGGTAATGTTTGAAAATACGTCGATAGTTCCTTTGAACTATCGTTTGATTTCAAATCTTAATGTTTTAATAGTTACGAATAAGTTTAACGGAGAAAATATTCGTTTTGCTATAGATATAACGATATTTTGCAGGACGGGTTCCAGTAAGCTGGTTTCTCTCTGCTGAAGCAATATCAGCTCTAGCAGCCGCTAACTCCGAGGAGCAGTGGAAGGAGATCCTGGCCTCCTATACCCTAAACATGGGTTGCAACGTCAAACAGAGGAGTGTTCAGGGTGCAGTTAGATACTGTGAGAAATGTGAATGTATAAAACCAGATAGATCCCACCACTGCTCCGTGTGTGAGGTTTGCACCCTGAAGATGGATCATCACTGCCCCTGGGTCAACAACTGTGTAGGCTTCGCTAACTATAAAGTAAGATGTTATGTCTTCATAAATCCTACACATAATATCACTAGACACATGGTCCCAGAAAATTTTTTGAGATTCTTGAGCCCGTTTTCGGTCTTTGGATCTTGGTTAGAGGGGGAGGGGGTTAGATATCTTCCTTGACTCTTAAGATGAAAATCAATTTTTGATAAAACAAATAATTTAAATTTTTTCTTAATTTCTAAAGAAACAATTTTGTGTTAAATAAAACTTTATGGGGGTTACCGCGCGCTATATGCAATGGAAAATAGAAGAAGAAGAGAATTTCTACTTTAAGACACGTATAAAATTCCTAATTTAAGGGAGGAATCACCTTTTCATTTTTGAAAACACTCAATTTGAATAGGAAAAAACTTTGATTTTTTTAGTTTTTTCTTCTCTTCCTGTGTTACGCCCTGGTGTACTGTACCTTCATCGCCTGCTCCTCCGTCAAGTTCTTCATCAGGTTCTGGTCTGATGAGAATAGTTTAGGAGCGGCTAAATATCATATCATCTTCGTGTTCCTTGTCTCGATACTCTTCACAATCAGTGTATCCTCTCTCTTCTGGTATCATGTTTACCTGGTTCTACGGAATAGGTAAGTTTACTGCACAATTACCAGAATACCATTTATTTCTCATGACCGCATTGTATGGTCTCAAAGCCTAGTTAAAGCAAACATAAACAATCCAAGGGTATAGATTTGAAGTTTTTTTTTTGGATAGGGGGGTGGGGTTGGATAAAAAATTCTGAGGTTTGTATTCAGCTTAATACTTTAACCGAAATTTCAATTATTTTCCCCAGAAACACATTAATTTTCTCTAATACAGCTGAATATATAATAGCTTGTTGTTGCGCAAACACTTAATGACAGAACTTGAAACGGAACTGTTTTTTATCAATGCTTTATGAGCTCGGGATCTGTTTATAAACTGTGTATTGTAATATTTAATGTTTAGAACGACTCTAGAACAGTTTCGCGCTCCCGTGTTTGACGATCATGAGAGTGACAAGGACGGTTGGTCCCTCAATACTCTCAGCAACATCAGGGAGGTTTTCGGAGAGAATCCTTTCCTTTGGTTCATTCCGATACAAACGCATTTAGGGGACGGGCTCTCTTTCCCTCATAGGCGAGCTAAAATATTCACCAATTATCAAAGCATAGGTGAGTGTCTTATATCAAAATTGTTGCAAAAGTCAATTGTTTATCTTGTAAGTTGTAGTCAAAGCTTTGAAAGATTAAAAAAACATTATATTCAACTAATTGTTTCAGGGACCTCTAATCCAAGCAGACCAGAGACTCCAAACCGAACCCTAGTCAATCCGATCCTAACTTCAGCAGGAACCTTCTCAGCTAGTCAAACTATACATAGCAACAGTAACAGTATTGTCCAAAGTGGGAAAGCCTCTGTAATGAGCGGAGTAGCGTCTCCGGAGTGTAAGACGGAGGCAGTTCTGGACAGTAATGGTTACGTGAGGACAGTTTCTGTTCAGAGTCGGAATGAGTTAACAGAGCTGGTTATTCAGTAAACTCACATTATCCAACTAAACACGTTGAATTCAGTTCCTATCCATATTGGTGGTGAATATTAATCTTCAATTAAAGAAACTTACTCGAGTTCTTCCCAGTTCTATCACTAACCTGGAGACTTGCGTCCGTTTATTTCTACACATTGTACTAATGACCTGGAGTAAAAACTCTATTTCATTGCAGTTCCATTTTGAGCTGTGAACAAACTTCACTTCTTAAACAATTCACTAACGGCGCTACGACATCTGCTCTATTTCCATTTGCTCTATGGCCATTTGCTCTAGTTCCATTTGATCTATCAAGTCATTTGCTCTATACGTCATTTTCTCTATATTCAATCTGCTCTATACCTCATTTGCTCTATGACTAAACACGTCATTTGCTCTATAACCTAAAAATACACTGTAGAATAGCTTTTATTGGAATTCCTGAGTGTAACCTGACTATGAAATGCGGGAATTTTTTTTGGAAAATTCGCAAATTGCAGTTTTAATCAGTTCTTCAAAGTTCATCATGACAGAGAGACTGCTCAATAATAAGAGGGGTAAAAAAACCTAATATGTGGTGAAAATATATTTATTCTTCTCTAAACAAAACTACCTCCAGGAAGTTGGCGGAATAATAAAGCTGTAGGAAGAATTGTAAATTGTAAAATTGTAAAAATATAGTTTTAATATGATTAGATGTTAGTAAAATATGTTTATAGAGCAAATGTTGAGGAGAGCATCCACATCACAGTCATAAAAATGTTTAAGAGCAATTGACGTATAGAGCAGATGACATATAGAGCAAACGTCGTGATCTATGAGCTATAGAGCAAATGGCCATAGAGCAAATGGAATTAGAGCAGATGTCGTAGTGCCTTCACTAACTCTTTGTAAATTAACATTTGTAATTTGTACCCACTTCCCTGGTATATCTTTCATCGACCCTAACCGAATGCGGCCTAGCTTTATTAAACTGTATGTATTTAAACCATGATCTCATCAGTTGTGTGGGATAAAATTATTTAAAGTCCGGGGGTGGGGGGGGAGTTGATTTTTTAACTGCGGTTCATTTAATAAAAAAGTTTTAATCGAATTTCTATCCTCAGGATGTTTCTAGCATTTAACATAAAAGAAAACTCCTGATAATAATTCCCTTTGTTTACTCTGATTAAAGATAGTGTATATGAAATTTGAAAGGAGGTACAAGACTAATCATAATATGATTGTTGACACAACATTTGTCTAAGAATATCTGTTAAAAACCTGTCTTATTAGTGCTAATTGCATGAAACCTAAAACAGGGATATAGAAGTGAATGGGCGCTAAGAATTGGTTGGATCAATGCTGTATGAAGTTGCGCTGGACCCTGAGAGCGGTCTATGGGTTTCATGTCCGGTTTTCTTTCAGATCTTTTCTTATAGAATAAAAGAATTGCCTCGATTCTTTTTATACTACAGGGTGTCCCAAAAGACATGGGAATTCAGTGACGAATTCGATATCGTCTTTTCAAATAATTCTTCGATTTAGTATAGTGATACCTACTGAGAAAGCTGTAATCTGTAAGAGTTTCGTCTGCTTTGTTTACATTTTGTTTGTTTATGTTTTGACTGCAACCGATTGTACTTAGTAAAACAAGAAAATTACAGTATACAAACAGAGTAAACTTGTCCGTATTCACTGTTCATCTTGCGGAGACATTATAGACACATCTTTGCAGTCTTTTACCCTTTTCATAAAATAGACTTTAGCAGACATAATAATATTATGGCTTTTGAAATTAGGTATTACAATGCTAATTCATAACAAAGACGATATCGAATTCGTCACTGAATTCCCATGTTTTTTGGGACACCCTGTACCTTTTCTAAATTCATGTACATTAAATGTTGTAGATATTGTGTTAGATTTTTTATAAATTTATACTGTCCTGTTCTAACTTGCATCCTGCGCTAGATGTGATGTGTTCAAATATATATTTATTATTTACAATTTTAAGCTTGTGATTTTCTCTTATTTATTCTTAATTTCTTGTAAAATCAAAATGTATTGTTTCTTATACTTGTGATGAAATTACTAATCTATGAATAAAATGTTGTTTACTGTAAATATTGTGTTATGATGGATTATCCTTTTACCTTGCAAACAAATAATATGCGGATACTGTAAATAGATATAAGGTTATAATGCAAGGAAAGTTAATTGAAGTTGCGTATACTCTGCGTACATATTGAAACCAGTTCTCTATGGGTAAATTTGTAAACAAGAATAGATGCATCAGTGTTCGTTTAGTATCCGAGGAGGTTAAAAGCATAAAATTTTGATAATTCACATAATAGTTTCAGCTATGACCAGATTATTTCAATAATTTTTTATTTGAATGATGGATCCCATGTCAGGCTTCGACATTCGTTTTTTGTTTACTTAACCGCCCAAAGACAGTACACTACAATACAGTACTAAAGATGCGTACACCTCTGAAATAACTTTCCTTGCATCATAACCTTGGCTATGTATAAATCATCTAGACCGGGTCGACATTAAGGTGTCGCTTATACTTTTTTGAAGTACGTACGTACATTTACATGTCAAAACCACAACGCTTTAATTTAAAAACCAAATTTCAAATGATGATCGATTTCTGCGAGAATGCCTGCATTCTTTGCCTACTTAATGTAATGAGTAATTTGCTGAATGAAGGCAGCTTTAACCTTCATCCAGCAGTATTAGTAATCTTACCAATATTCCTACCCGGTTCCTTGTGCAAACTTTATTGCGTACATTGTTCTCTAGACTAGATATCTTCATGTTTCAGTTTTTTTTCATAATCTTGTCATTTTCATAAGAAGTATTTCCGGACTCCTCTGTTACATCAGACCTTAATTTCTTTTTTTTCTTTACAATGATAAGATGAGCCAAGAGAAAGGAAGATTTTTCCATGTGTGGGTACCTGGAGAGAGTTTCAAACCCAACCCTGTTCTAAGCCAAGAGTCCCCGACGACAAGTACTGAATTAGTTCTGGAAGGATCTCCTATAACTGCTCCCGTATTAGAAGATACCGACATCGAAATATTCTTGTCTTCTGACAAGGTTTATGATGAAAGGAATGAGGACGGCTCTAACAATATCTCTACTACTTATGAACAGATCAATGTGAACCAACTAGATGCTTACAAGCCTGTAGCAAGTCCAGAACCAATATATTCCTTGACCCGACCCAAGCCTAAACCTAGGGTTAGAGGTCCTAGGGACCCTGATGCCCCCAAACCTCCTCAAAGGTAAAGCTTATGTTTACAGGGTGTCACAATGAACATAAGAATTGAGTAACGATTTAGAGATCGCCATTGTAAATGCCTTCTTATTTAGTACGGTGTTATATGAAAGATGTGACCTAAAAATGTTTCTCTGCTAGAGTTAATAATTTTGATGTTAATGTTTTCATTGCATATGGCTGTAAGTAAAATGAGAAATTTTTTTATTTCCTTCTCCGTGTTAAACCTGCAGAAGTATTAATACAGATACATCACCATCATTACCGTTGACATAAAATATACTCAAGCGGGCGTAACTTTATAATGCATTACAATTCCTTAAACCATTAAAGACGTCGCTCAATTCTCATGTTTATTGGAAAGTCTAGAAAGAGAATAGAATTCATTTAAAGGTTTTTTGAGTTTCACAAAAGATGTTTGATAATTAGTTCAAACAGGGTTACCCACAAAGAATGAGACTTCAGAGACGATTGTATGGAATTTGTTTATTCCGTTTTTCTTGCATTCAGGTTTCCTTGTAGGCAAAAACTTTCTTATTTCATTGCTTAACCATTTATTAAACCCTCAAAATACTCATTTGAATGCAGAAACCAAAAATCAAGCTTCAAATTGTCATATACTTATAGTTTTTGGTCTTTACATTATTATCCTTTGTGGGTAACCCTGTACAATGCATCATTTTTAATAATCGAAAATATAAAAATCTCTTCCAGAATTTTGAGAAAACGGGCATTTTTTAATTTACCTCTAAACAGTAAAATATAGATTTATTGAATTAAGTCTTTTCCACAATCTCTAATCTTTGCAACCTAATGGTATAAACCTTTATATTTCAAACTTAGATCAGAATTCATAGTTTAAAACATCTAAGGTCTATGTCATTGGGTTGCAAAGATATAGATAGATAGATAGTTTAGAAAGTCAGAGTTTGTGGCAAAGACTTAATACCTTTGTATTTAGTGCGTATATACGTTGGTTGAAGGATGTTAGAGTATTGGTTCAGCAGGAGCTTGGTAATCCATCATTCTCCGAGCTTAACAGAGAACTAGGATACAGATGGAGGAACATTGATGAGAATACCAAGGGTTGGTATACATGGTTAGCAGAGAAGGATAATGTAGAGTACAGGAAAGCTATGAAAATATATACCAACAGTCCCCGGTATCTCCATATGAAGGAGCAGGCCAAGATAAAGAAAATGCTCGAAAATCCTCCTAAGATTCCCCCCAGGTTTACATTAATTCATTATTTCCAGGGGCGTTTACAGGATAGGGGTTCTGCGTATAGTGCCCATCAAAACCCCTTTCCATTTTCTTATCCCATTTCAAACTGTAAACCCCAAGCATGTAACAAGTTTGCAAACTAAATCCTGGTTATTTACAAGACATTACATATTCCACGGGCATCGCCGGGCACTTCAGCTAGTAATTAATAAGTAGTACCAACTAAATACGAGATTATGATAACGGCCAGAATGGATTTAGTAGTCTTAAAAAGGCTTTTTAATGATATCGCAAGAAAAATTGCCAGTTATGGTATAAAGGGATTTTAGGCGTAATTTCAAGTGACCCTCATGCAAAGATAGCAATGCCCGATTCACACTTGGGTACCCTTTAAAGCTTTCTCTGATTAAGTATGAATTAGGTATTAATGTTCATAAGTTTTGGAAACTGATTATTTTCAATGTGGTTTCTCTACAACATAAAGTGATTTCGACTTCTGGAAAACATAAAGTGATTTCGACTACTGGAAAACATATAGGAATTATTAGAGTTAACCCCTTTTAACTCCATTCTAGAAAAACAACAGATCTTCCACATTACTGACTAGATAAATGTTTCAAGGATACCGTTGTAAATCGGTCATTGCCATTTTTGCATAAAACAGTCACGTAAAATTACGCTTACAGTCCCTTTAAGGCATCTTATTCTTAGTTAGATTGAATAGTATTGGAATTTTTGTTCAGGTCAATTACTTTACTTTTGATAAACCCTTTATAAAATACTAGACTTTATGGCTCTGGGGTGTAATTTTAATTTTAATTTAGCTTTCCAATGTTTTTAGACTTCATTACAGGGGACATCAGTTCCAAAACTAACACTTGGCCCATTTCTAACACTGGTTAGAAATGGGCCAAATCTGCAAAGTTATCTTTTTTAAGAGTAAATATCTTTAAATCTAAGACGAGTAGAACAAAATTACACCATATATTTGTAAAAAATGGCTAAAACTATATATTGAAACATTAAATGTCCATTTTAAACTAATATTAAGGTGTGAGAATTAGTTTTTGAAGATTCTTGATTTCATTTTCGAACATATCCCTATTTTGGAACAATTACCGGATTTCAGCTCATGTCGCGTTTTCGGAATATATCCTGGTTTTGAGACAATTACCGGAATTCATATCAATGTCAATTTTCAAGTTTTTACACACTTATGAAACAAAACAAGCTTTTTCGATAAGCTAAAATATGAACAAAATAGAAAATAAAAACAAACTGTTCTTATACATTTTAAAAATCATTACAGCAATTAGAAATCAAAATATTAATATCATTTGTTCTTACAATATAGATTTAACTAGAAATGCGGGAAACTGTTTGTTTAAAATGCTTGAACATAAATCATCCATATTCTCTAATTTAACAAATAAAATGTGGAAACTTAGATTCTAGAAATAATTCAGAAGTTAATTTAGTCTTCATGAGATAATTTTTGTTGTCAATTATTTATTTTGTAAGTTATGAAAGTGAATTTTGTTTTTTTTATTGTGGATTGTACTCAAAAACGGGAAAGTGGGTTTTGTCTCGAAAACGTAACAATGTTTCAAATTCAGGATATGTTTGAAAATGGAAAACCTAACATTGTCTTGAAAACGGTCAAGAGCTTTAATGTAACAAGAACTCTTATTATAATTTTGATTTTAAAAAAAGTTTAAAATTGGGAATTGTTGTTCTCGTCATGTTTAATAAAATGTTAGTTATTGTTTTTTTTATCCACTTTTACTCTGGATATGGGTCGGGATCCCAAAAACCCAGTCTTTTAATTTGTGCCCATTTCTAACACTCAGTGTTAGAAATGGGCCAAGTGTTAGTTTTGGAACTAATGTCCCCTGTATTACACATCGTAAAACTAAAAAATTTCGCAGTTTTCTTGTTTTTATTGCTGGATTCACATAAAATTCTGGGGTCACGTGAGTTCATACAAAAATCTTTTAACGTATAATGGACACAAACAGATAGAAACTGACAGGCTTAATATATTCTGTAAACAAATAGAAACTGACAGGCTTAATATATTCTGTAAACAGATAGAAACTGACAGGCTTAATATATTCTGTAAACAGATAGAAATTGACAGGCTTAATATATTCTGTAAACAGACGAATGAGACGTTAAAGACGATCTGAAACTCTTTAGTTCTAAAAATATGAAGGTTAAATTGGATCTTATGTCTTTAATAGGTCTTCTAAATGATATAAAATTTTGTTCAGTGCGTACACGTTGTGGGTGAAGGATAACAAGGAAACTGTAAAAGCTGATCTTAACCCCAATTCTTCGTGTCATTTGATGAGTTCAGAGCTTGGGAAGCGATGGAAGAGCTTGGATCTCGAGACTAAACAATATTACTGCCGACTCGCAGGACAGAAGAAGAAAGATTTTTATTCTCAACAGAATCATTTACCGTCACCTTCTCTGCCCTTGAACTCTCTGCAGGAGTACAGGGTTCCAGAGTTATTCTACAAAGAAGCAACTATGTCCTCGGACACTTCGTCGAAAAATCTGGACAAAAAGGAGTTATGTCGAACCCTTCATAAGGACATGTTGGAGAAAGAAAAGAGCTCATCGGGTAAAATCTCCTTTAATAAATTTTTAAAATTCATTTTTTAATGATAAAATCAAATCAAATCATTAATTCTTATTTTTCTATTTGTTATGTTGTTATGTTCGGACCCAACTTACATTAATTAAGTGTTAATACACAATATATTATAGAAATTCAAAAACTTTAAACTTGCAGCAATCTTGACATAAGGGATGTATTACTTAACATGTAACTGGTTGTTATGAGACTCTCGGCTAATCTCGCCTCATCTACCTGTGTAGTAATGTTTACTTTTCAGGGTTACGTGATCATGTTAAAGCAGATGAAAACAACCCGGAGAAATCCTCCAAATCTGTCCAGGACAAGGTTTCCTCTCCGGAGAAAACCACCAGCTTCAAACACAGACCTATGATAAAGATTGCTAGAAACCTTTACCAAAACCCCTTCTCAAACAACTCCGATCTACAGAGCTCAAACTCCTCAGTCAGACCCAACCCTGTACTGGTTGAAAAATGGTCCCAATCTGAAGATCGTTCCTCAGTCCGACCCAACCCTGTACTAGTCGAAGAATGGTCCAAAGCTAAAGTTCATTCCTCCGTCCGACCCTACCCTGTACTAGTCGAAGAATGGTCCAAATCTAAAGTTCATTCCTTCGTCCGTTCCAACCCTGCTATAGTTGGACAAAGGTTCCAATCTAAATCTCACTCCTCCGTCCGACCCAACCCTGAACTAGTCGAAGAATGGTCCAAATCCAAGGATTGCTCTGGCCAACCCAACCCTGTATTAGTCGAAGAATCGTCCAAATCCAAAGATTGCTCTGGCCAACCCAACCCTGTACTAGTCGAAGAATCGTCCAAATCCAAGGCTCACTGCTCCGTCCAACCGAACCTTGTTTTAGTTGAAAAATTGTCTAAATCTGAAGCTCGCTCCTCCGTGCGACCAATTCATGCCCTAGTTGGACAAAGGTTCCAATCTAATAATCACTCCTCAATCCGTTCCAACCCTGTTATAGTTGGAAAAAGGCTCCAATCTAGAGCTCACTCATCCTCCCGACCCAACCCTGTTCTAGATGTAGAACGTTTTGAACCAAAAGCTCCTGAAACTGCAGATGAAGTAAATGTGTACTCTCCAACCATCAGGATCACGGATGAGGAAGGAAACATGATTTTCCACCCCCGCATATTTAACTAAATATAAATCAAACTGTATGCCAACTAACAACGGTATTAATGAGATTGTTAACATAAATTAAACATAAAGTGTTCTTTAAAGAGTGCTTGTCAGCGATTCACAGTGATACATTTTAAACCTTCATATGTTAAGTTTTTGGAACCTTTTATTCATTTAATCGTAGTTTTCCCCACATTTTTGGATCGCATTTCTCGTATTTTTTCATGGGTCTACGATAGCATTTGCGTATGGGGTGCCCCCCTTGGCAACATTGTGTCGGCTCCCTTTAAACCCCCTTTTTTGAATAAATATTGATACTGTTTTAACTATTTTAAGATAAACTAAAGTTTTTCTTCTTTCTATCATGAAGCTCAAGTTTTCCTTTTTCTATCTGTAAACTCCAGTTCGCTCACTTCCTATCTATAAACTCCAGTTCTCCCACTTTCTATCTTATAAACTACAGATCTCCTATATTTTCTATCTTATAAACTCTAGTGCGCCTACTTTCTATCTGTAATCTCATGTTCTCCTATCTATCTGTAAACACTAGTTTTCCTACTTTCTGTATATAAACTCATGTTTCCTATCTTTCTTTAAACCCTAGTTCTCCCACTTTCTATCTGTAAACTCCATTTCTCCTACTTTCTATCTTTAAACTCCAGTTCTCTTACTTTCTATCTGTAAACTCCATTTCTCCTACTTTCTATATATAAACTCCAGTTCTCCTACTTTCTATCTTTAAACTCCAGTTTTCAAACTTTCTATCTGTAAACTCCAGTTCTCGTACTTTCTATCTTGAAACTCCAGTTCTCCTACTTTCTATCTGTAAACTCCAGTTCTCCTACTTTCTATCTGTAAACTCCAGTTCTCCTACTTTCTATCTGTAAACTCCAGTTCTCCTACTTTCTCTCTGTAGACTCCAGTTCTCCTACTTTCTCTCTGTAGACTCCAGTTCTCTCACTTTTAACCTGTAAACTCAAGTTCTCCCACTTTCTATCTGTAAACTCCAGTTCTCCTACTTTCTTTCTGTAAACTCCAATTCTCCCACTTTCTATCTGTAAACTCCAGTTCTCCCACTTTTTACCTGTAAACTCAAGTTCTCCCACTTTCTATCTGTAAACTCCAGTTCTCCTACTTTCTTTCTGTAAACTTCAATTCTCCCACTTTCAATCTGTAAACTCAAGTTCTCCACCTTCTTTCCGTAAACTCCAGTTTTCCCAATTTCTATCTGTAAACTCCAGTTCTCCTACTTTCTATCTGTAAACTGCAGTTCTTCTATTTTTTATCTTTGAACTCCACTGTTTATCTGTTAACTTTTAGTTCTGCTTTTTATCTTAAACCATTTCTCCTACTTTCTATTTGTAAACTCAAGAATTCTCCTACTTTCTATCTCTGAACTCGATTCTTTTATTTCTATCTGCATCAAGTTATTATACTTTCTATCTGTAAACTCCAGTTATCCTACTTTCTAACTGTAAACTCCAGTTCTAACACTTTCTACCTGTAAACCCCAGTTCTCCTATTTACTTTCTATCTGTTAATCTATCTGTTAATTAATGTTCTCTGCACTTTCTATCTGTAAACTCAAGTTTTCCCTCTGTCTATCTTTGAACTCCAAATTTACTTTCTATTGTTAACTTGCAGTTTTGTTTTTCATCTGTATACCATTTCTCCTAGTTTCTATCTGTAAACTCTAGTTCTCCTAATTCTATCTGTAAAACTCAAGTTTTCCTGTAACGCTGGTTCTCCTACTTTATCTGTAACTCTAGTTCTCCTACTTTCTTTATGTAAACTCATGTTTTCCTTTCTATCTGTAAACTCTAGTTTTCCTACTTTTTACATGTAACTCATGTTTTCCTATCTATCTTAAAACTCTAGTTTTCATACTTTCTACATGTAAACTCATGTTTTCCTATCTATCTTTAAACTCTAGTTTTCATACTTTCTATATGTAGACTCATGTTTCCCTATCGATCTGTAAACTATAGTTTTCCTACTTTCTATATGTAAACTAATGTTTTCCTATCTATCTGTAAACTCCGCAAAATCGTCAAGAAGTCAATATTAGGTTTTAACTTTGGTAAGATCAAAGACGACATAAAAATTATTCAAATTAAGGAAAATGTAACCTTTTTTCAATTACCATTATTTATCATTTGATTTTCGGTTCAGATCAAAAATGAATCTGTAAGGAGGGAATTCCATGTCTATATTTGATGACAAAAATTGTGGAATATGTATGTGTAATAATTTATCCTGTTAAACAGGTTTACGTTGGATCAGCTGATTCAAGAAACACACAACTCATCCTAATTCAGAGTCACCAAATTATACAAAAAAAATGACTTTAAATAGTTATATTACTCGTAATATTATTTCGATATTATTACACATCGTCCAACCTTTAGCATGTTTAACACCCTTCACTCTAACTTAAGATACAAAGTTGTCTGTTTTGAAATTTAAGAAAATTACAATGATATGAATGTGTTTATAATAATCTCATGATATTTTCAGGAAAAATGTCTGGAGTGACGTTATGCCAAGCAACTCCTGGTAAATTAAACAAGGTGAAGACAAGTATCAAATCTGTCCCGGAGCTACGGAAACAAGCCGCTGAACTAACCAAGCTACCGGAGGACCGGATTCGTTTGCTCTGGCAGGGAAACCTAGTCTCCGATGGTTTTGATGTGAGTAAACTGACGAATAGTCTGGTTATGATTGTTCCCATGGCTCCAGCTAGACCCGCTCAGGGTCCTGCTCCGGAACCTGTTCATGCTTCGGAGGAGGAGATTCAACGGTTTAGAGTGGCGTTCGGGTCCGCTATAAGGAACCCGGCTTTCTCCAAGGTAGTAAAAAGAATGGCGTTGCGTGAGAACATGGATAATTTATCTGCTGCTTGCCCAGGACTAGGAGAAGATCTTGTAGCTCAAGCTTTCCTCACTCGTCCTGAACTACTGATTCAGCTATTGGATCTAGAAACTCTAAAAAAGATCGGAGAAACTCATCCAGCCTTGTGTGAAGCTGCGCATAACCTTGCTGCTGCGGTTCATGAGGAGCAGGCATCTTCGGGTCGATCAGCTGCATCAGATGAGTCCGGAGAACCTGAACCAGGCAGTTACTTCCTTGATGAGCTAAGTGATGAAGAGATGGAGGATGAGGAACAAGGTCCCCAGGCCGGACGGACAGGTCGTGTTGCTCCGATTACTCCGGAGCAACTTGCTGCTGCTTTAGCTGCCGCTGCCGGCTCTGCTAATCCTTTCATGGGAGTAACAGGGCTAGGTCTAAACCAACCTGGAGCACAGAGGAGTTCAACCAGTACAGCGTCATCTTCTGCTCAAACTACTCCGTCGAGTCGTCTCACAGCTGATATGTTCCAGGCCGCTATGCAGCAGGCTATGCAGGTGATGGATGGATCAAACAGTGCTCAATCCTTTGCTCCGACTCCTATTCCGCAGATGGATTACTCCAGTCAGCTTGCTACCATGAAAGAAATGGGTATAATAGACGAGGGGTTAGCAACACGCGCTCTCCAGGTTATGGGTGGAGATATTCAAGCTGCTGTGGATCTTATATTCTCCGGATGGTTGGGAGATGAAGATGCAATGCAATGATGAATCTTAACTAATTTTGGATGTTTTATCATCGTTATTTAAAATTATCATTAATCTTAATCCGTAGAATCAAATCAAGTTTAAAATAAATTCTTGTAATGATTTCAGAAATGAATTTATGGAACGCGCACACTTTCAACCTTGGATCCCAGGGGAATATATATACTCAGACTGTGATCAAACTGATAAATGGTTCTTGTAAACTCCTGGTTGCTGCCCTCAGCAGGAAGGTTTCATGCTTTGATCTCTCCATGACGCACTCAGCTCGACCCTGTGGCTGTGTGGTAAGAAAAGATATGTTTTCCTACCAATTGGTTATTGTTTTACCCCCCACATAAAAATGTCTTCCAATATAAAGACATTTATGAAATTCTTTGGAAACCTGTAAGTTTAGGTGATTTAATAGAATTTTAATTTTTGTTGGGGGGGGGGGGCAGAAACATAACTTATATCTTGCAATGATGATTTTTTTTGAAACTATTGTGTACTTAATCATTCATACTAACTTCATAGTGAATTTTATTATTGACGTGCTATAAAGTTAAATTAGCTCTATATTATAGCACTGTGACAATGATATTTCAGGCTTTATTTTGCTTTATTAAAACGCTTATTATATCTAGAAATAATCATTTCAGCAAGACAAGTACAGAAACATTTCATAAAAATACCTTTAGCACTAATATTTTGGAACGACGTTTTATAAAGTTTTTGGGTTTCAATTTTCTCTGAATGTTCTCGCCATGAACCTTCTTGATGAAGAGAACATTTCTGTTTATAACTAATTTATGAATATATTAGGTAGTTCCACAGACCCAAGAATTGCAGTTTACTTATCTTCCACCCGGAGCTGAAATCATTTCCATCCATGCATTTAATCGGTCCAGTGAGACGAACGATTTTGTGATTGGAGTAACTATTATCAAGGGTTCAGACTCCGGATCTCAAGATCAGTATATAAACATATACTCGGAATGGGAACCTGGCACTGAACTACAGCTTGACAGGTTTCTATTCAAAATAATAATAATGAACATTGAACAAGATAAAAGTATAACATTGTAAAGAAATTAAATTTTTTTCATTCATTTATTGATAACATTGATGCAATTGTCGATTGAATTACTAGTTATTAAGAATATAGCTAAAGAAAAATTTGCGTTAAGGGTTAAAAAAGGTTTTAATTCTGATAATTCCTATTAATTTTTCTGCTGTAGAAATGCTCAAGTCACTTCATGAGAGAAAAAATAGTCGGTTTTCAAAATCATTAACATTGTTAGCTAATTCATACCTAATCAGTTAAAGCTTTGATTGGATGGTCATTTTAAAAATACCCTTACTGTCCCATTAAGAGAAAATACCCTTACTGTCCCATTAAGAGAAAATACCCTTACTGTCCCATTAAGAGAAAATACCCTTACGGACTCCCATTAAGAGAATAAATTATGTATTTTTTATCCCTCTAATATCACGATGAAATAATATGTTCGGAGGGGGGGGAATGGAATTTTCATATGAAGAAGTATATTTATTTCAATATTTTTCAGCTTGGCCCAGGGTTGTCTCTCCCTGGAGCTCCGATATATCCCATACCAGCTCGGACACTGTCAGGTTGGAGAAGAGAAACTGTGGATACTTGGAGGCTCAGACAACAGAATACATGTCTTCAGGTTTATACATAAACATCTTTTTATTTTTAATAAAATTAAACCCACGCTCTATAATTTTTTTATTTTAAAATCGCATCAAGGGTCGAAATAATGTATACATAACACCGTTTTTGAAATTTTCAAATAACTAATCTTAAAATTTAATTTAATTATAAAGATTTATTCACACACAAAGATATAAATACATATATAAATGGTGTAGTTTAAATTTGTTTAAATAAATTTTTTGAAAATACAGATTTCCAAAAGAAAAGAGAAAAATATGCAAAATTATGCACAAATAGACAACATTGATCATTACTCAATGCATAACATATTTATCATTTCAGTTATTACCAATGTAATGTAATAAATAATTGTGGATTCTTATGATGGGTTAATTGGGATAAATGTGTAAAAAGAAAAAATCTTGACAATGTTAGAAAAGAAAATACTTTTGTGAACATTTGCAATTATGATGACCGATTGTTTGTTTGTTTAGTGAGGATAAGCTACGACACATGTACTGTGAGCTGGAGGTGGAGAATAGTCTGGTTGAGTTCCAGGACCCGTATCCATCCGTTCCTCTCTACACAGACACTCATACAGAGGACGGGATTAGGACAGTTGCTACAGTTTGTGAATGCGGGTTCCTCAAGCTTACTAAGGTGGATGAGTTCAGAAACGAAATTCTAAAAATTTGGACAAGAAATTTTGAGGGTCCTTTGACCTGTGTCCTTTTTATGAAATCCAGCACCTCGCTCGACTTCCTGTTTCCAAGCTTTATCGGAGACAATGCTAAACTACCCCGGAGAGAGAAGGAGAAAAATTTATCAATGGTTGTAACTTGTAGTATAGGGGAGAGCTTGGTTTATTCCGACGTGACCAACCTGGGACTAGAAAGCTGTGAAAGATTAGAGCAGAGTGACGCCCATGATATAGTTACATCCGCCTGGGTTGATGATTTAACATTCGACGGAAATCTGACAATTTTGCTGGGAACCCATGGGCTCAAGGTGTTAGCCTATAGGAGAGAAGATTCAGGTTGGAAACTAAAATGGGAGAAACGGTTTCCTGCTCCAATCCTAGGAATAAGATATGCAGACCTTACTGGGGATGGGGTCAAAGAACTAATAGTTATAACAACCTGCGGGGTTCAGGTTTTGCAACATGATCTTGAAGCTGTGAAAGAAACTGCCCTGAGAAGATTAAATACTATATCAAGACTAATTAAAAACATTTCAAATTAAACATTTATAAAACAGTTAATTTGGGGGTTGTGTTACAGAGTAAAATGTTACAAACTCGACGCTCGCGACAAGAACGAGTGAAAGTAGCGAGAAACTCGGAGAATATTCTGAAGGATTGTCCTGAACTAGAAACTTATCTAGTTGGAGACCAACAGCTGGCCGTAGATATTTATACAGTTAACCAAATGTCGGAGAGTTTAAAGAAATCCCTTCTTGACTTACTGGAAGGGAACATGAGAGAATTTTACGAGAACACTCCGTCAGGTTGGGACAGGTCGGAGAAATCTGTAGAAATGTTTGATTCTAACTCTAGACATGTTGTGCTGAGCAAGGACGGAGAACCGGTAGCGTTCTCACATTTCCAGTTCGACATGGATCACGGAGTAGACGTGATATACTGCTATGAACTGCAAATCCTGGAAAATTGGCGAAGAAAAGGGATTGGAAGGTAATTAACGTCCTAATTCTTCTTTCAGACACTATTCTCCGAACCCTACAGTATGGATGTTCAACCAAGTTTGTTTTTTTTCATTGCGATGTGCTGTACGTTGTCTTAGGTTAATACATTTACTAAAACACGATTCAAAGCTTTTTCTTTTTCCTGACTATGTTTTCAACCTACTATTCGTTCTCTAAACCATGATATTATTCTCTTCCTTTTGAAAGAATAGATCGTTAATATCTCCTATTATATCCATACCCTCCGGTTTAACTCACTTTCACTTTAAGATTGTCAATATTTTTTGTTGCCCATGACAAAAATTCAGATATTAATGTTATGGGCTAAAAACCTGTAGTTGTTTATACTCTTGTTTAAAGAACATATTTAATGTAAAATCTATCTTTATTAAGAGACCTTCATAATTGAACTTTTTTGGTCACCCTTCCTCTAGCGGTCATTGTTCACAATCTTAAATAAACGTAATAGGAAAATTTTCTTAAAAAAGATTAAGATATTTTTAAGGATTATCAATAAAATCATAAAATGGACAAATTGTCAATTGATAAGAAAAGATTACATGTAAGCTTAATAAATAAAGCCTAGAAGGTACACAGAGTTCCATGTCCCCCTCACCCCAGTACGCCCCTGAACCTCTGTTAACTAAATTTTGTACACTTAAGCCATTGGAATTGCATAAAACTAGCTTTTATCTCTCTTAATTTTAAATTTTGACGATCGTTAGACATTTTTATTTACACATATTAATGTTATAATAAATATATTTGTTTAGATTTATTGTGCGGATGCTGGAACATTTGAGGAGTATTTTTCATCTGACAAAACTTATTTTAACAGTGTTTAACTTTAATTTAGCGGCCATAGAGTTCTACAAGGAAGGATTAGGTTTCAGTGTTGATGAGACTAGTCCAGAGTCTCAGTACTATATAATACTTTCAAGAACAAATGCACATTTGTCACCTTTATAAATATTTAGAACATTGAGTGAAATGTGAAAAGGGAATATTTTCTTGTTCGAACTATTCGATCCGTTCCTTCCGTTCTTGATTCTCTTCCGATACAACGGAGTTTATGTAGGTCTTGGCATTGTGCTGGATCCAACTTCCTCCGTTGCTGGATTTCTCCGACCTTCCGTCCTCGCTCCGTCCTACTTTCAGGATATAGGAGAAATCAACAGATAGTATTCTACAGAACAGGATTATGTTCATGAGAACCTGAAATACAATTTTAATGAATTATTGTATGAAATGATTTTATGCGTAATTTAACTTTCAATTGAAAGATTAATAAAAGTTGTGTTAACAAACAAAGATCTTTATTTGTTTTCATTATGCAAATAGTTTATTTTTAAACACTGAAGTTTAATTTAGATAATATAAATCAATTCACTCCTCCTTCCTTTTCCTTTTGTAATCAGTTCCTATTCTTCCCTAGTATTTCGAGTCATCTTTTATTCTAATTTCTTTAATTTTCCTTCTAGTTTTATTGTAGTTATGCTTGACATTGCTTTATTTTCTTATACAGTTTAATTCTTTTTTTTGTTATTGCACCTGCGGTATGTTTTAAGGTTATCTCTATATGGTGTGGTTTATACAGTCCTTATCTTCTATCTTCAATATTATAAAACACTACAGTCTTGTATTGCATAAGACAGTTTCTATAATTACGTCATTATTGACAATTTCTTAAAAGACAATTCATTCGTTGAACTCAATATTTTATATTTTTAGACATTTTTTGGGGTTGAATTGCAAAATTGTGAGTTTTTAACCGTGACCATGCACAATTTGCACAACTCAAGCGTCCCAAAAAATCAATAAGGCATATTTGGTCATCTAAAATACAATCAAACCATCGCAACTTTGCCATTTTGTTACGAAAGAGATTGATTTTTTTTAGTCTGGATTTGACTCGTTTCTTAAAATGTGTAGATTTTTTTAGACACGATTTTAAAAATCCTAAGCGATTTTTTATATTAAATGAATGTAAGCTTGCGTCAATAATTCCACCGCTTTCCGTGGTGCTTACAGTAAAAAAAACACAAGTTATACTTACAATAACGGCGAGTCCGACTGAACCAGCAGTAAAGAATGCTAAAGGAATCTTGTCCCTGTTCACCGTCAACCACCTCGTCATCCATCCCAGCAACAGGATACGGAAGAAGAGAAACGTTCCAACATTGAAGAGAGCATTAGTCTTGTATCTCAGAGAGGATTTAGGTTCTCCAGTAATGATGAAGAGCTGCCTGGCGTGGAGGAACACGGAGTTGATCTCAACCATTAAGGAGAGAGCGCCGTAGGCCACGTACTGGTGGCTAAACACCGCTATTGAGAAGCAGATAACGACCAAAAAATGGTGTATTAGTAGCTCGTAGGTGGATCTCTTCCTGTGGTAGATGATCATGTCCAGTGCGTCGTATATAAAGTATCCTATGGAGAAGGAGACTAAGGCGTGTGTGGAAGGAGTAGAGGTACTTATCAGATCATTACTCATTTCTGGGGCCTGGAATATAACAAATTAAATGTCTTCTTTTCCCGTCCGATTAATTCGTTATACCAAAGCGCGCAAGATGTTATATTAGAAATATTTTCTTTTATGAAAGATTACGCTCCGCCAAAAATAATTCATTTCATTTGTTAACAATATTTTAAGGTTTTTCACATCCTATCGGAGAAAATAAATTTTAGAAAAGTCACTGATCAGTTTTCTGGAATCTTACGAATTAAAAGCAGGGCGGTTTCCGGCGTTTTTTTTAACGAATTTTATGATATCTGATATTTTTGTTATGATCCAAATGTATTTAACCTAACTTTAAATTTGGAGAAATATTCCTCGTTACCTGATAAAATGCTAGTGGAGACCATATCCCAGTGATAAATGAATGTATAAACGAAGTCGCTACGTTCCTCCATTTCCATCTTTGCTGTGTGGTTCTGCAGGCGCTCTCCGGTATGATGAATCTAGTGAGGTAGTTGGTGAAAGAGAAGACGGAGAACCCGAGGGTTATCACGAGCTTGTTGTTCTCCAGCATCTCTGGTACGTCCATTCTGTTCTGTAGTCTGTGTAACACTATCAATAAATGCGAGTTTCCTTCCACTTAACTATCAATTTATAATGATAAGCTACAGAGCCGGGAGTTCGTTTATATAAAATAGAACTTACTCTGTAACCCGCAAAGAAATATCGATCTTTCAACTCTGAGTCTGAGAGTTTAGTAAATGTTTCTAGATCTTGTTAATATTTAATTTACACGAAAACTAGATCCAGATATCGAGGATATAATATTTTATTCGGCCTCGAGTTAAACTAAGAACTGAAGAAGCAAAGGAATGCCGGAGAGAGAAGAGAAAGCAATATTTCTTCCACTTTCCTCGCCTTTTACACCTCGTAATTACGCAATTCTGTCATGTATTAGGAGTTGCCTTGTAAGTGGTTTGTGTGAAGAACTGCGTTATTGCGTATGTTGTTTACATTTAGGCCGATCCCACCTATCGTAGGAACACGCCCAAACGGCATTCTTATAGTAGGAACTTGACCAGACAAGAGATGTTTTATAAAGCTTTCTTTTTGCGTAAACGAACTCTTTGATAACTCACTATTCCTTGATAAAAGTTTGTTATACAAATAAACTTCAGTCTTTATTCGATAATCTTAAGCAAACAAATAGTTCAAATATTAAGCAATACAGTTTTTTCCTGCTGCCGTTTATAAAAGTTGACATTTATCATTCTAAAAAAAATATAATAATTGCCATGTGCACTGCAGACATTTCATAAGTACAATTTTAGAATTTATCAAGACATAAAACATACAAATAGTAAATTTGATTTTTAAAAATGAAACAATTATTGAATGATCGACGAAACCTGTTAATGGCCAGTCCGCATTTTTCTTATTTTAGTGTTCGCGCCATATTTCTCCCATGCAGGGATAAACCGTAGCAAAATTACTATATCAATTCTTAATTTAAAAAATAGGTTAATTCAGGGTTGTTCTAAATGATGTCGTTAAAGCATATCGTTGGGGTTAATCCAATTAACCAATTGCAATTTATAGATCGCGTAAAATATGGGTTAATTTTACAAATATGGGTTCCGACTCTTCCGACCTAAAAAAAACTGATCATGATGTTTTCATGCATGTCGCTTTTTTGTCTCGTTCTATTTATTATTTTATTTTATTAATTATTTTATCTTATTGGATAAGTATCATGTCAAAACCATTAAATTAACAGATTATCAAAGTTATAACTCTACCGACGTTCAACATTATATAAACAGGGTTCTGACTAATGAGTCTGTATAAAGACGACCTGCAAGTGTAACAATATCAAGGTTAAATTGGACTTCTACCTTACATTTAGTCAGTAAATGATTTCGCAATAAAAGCAAACACTTAAACAGTTGCAGGGAATCAAGAATATAATAAGGAAACTACAGTAAAAATTTCGTACAATCATCTCTGAAGTCTCGTCTTTTGTGAGTAACCCTGTTTGAGTATTTAATTTTGAGGTTCTCAACAAATTAAGCTAACAATAAAATTGAAAGGATCCCCAGCTTAACTAAACAAAAATTAGAAAGTGATATTATTCTCACTTTATGTAAGCATATTTTTACATCATAAACTTTAAAATACATTATTAATGCATTTGCACTCAGGCATCTTAAAATAGTGTGACAGTTGAAGTATCTTGCTCGTATGCTCATTGCTCATATCATGTTTAAAAAGTATTCATAAAAATTAAATGTTTATAATAATTTGTATTTACTCGAAATATGGTAGGTTAGTCTTAACGAAGCACTTCATAATTTAGTTAACAATTATAGTGATAACCAGAAAACTCTGAAATAGAAAGACGAATTTTAGGCTCAAGTTACATGACATTAAATAGTCCAATAAGCAGACAGAACCCACATTGAAATCAACCTTTTTAAGAGCCATGTTCACTATAGCTGTATACAACTACAATTTTTTTAACCAAATTTTTGAACCTGAAGCAATAAGTTTCTGTAAAAGTTAAAGAATTGAATGCGTACTTTAACCGACCCATGCCTATCTTCTTCTCGCTGTTCGATCAGAAAATCTTACCTCAGGAAAAAAAAAAATTTTAAATGTTTTAATTTGATTGGTCTGAAAGTACAGCTTTAGTAAATATAATTGTTACGGAAGCTAAAAACAGCTAAAGATTACAATTTTTGAAAATTCTAAATTCTAATAACATAGTTCTTAGTATATTCACAGAAGATTCCGTTGATCTAATATTATCAACTATGCAATTATAAGATCTTCAGAAGTTTCATGAGTATCCAGAAGTTCCAGATTTTATCACCTGCAGCTCAAATAGCTCTCTTGCTACAGGACAGGGAAGTTATTGGGGCTAAATACCCCCCTAGACTCCTGGGAGTAATTATCCTTCATAGAATCTTGGGGGTAATTACCCCCCCCCCTCCCCCGGGGAATCTTGGAGACGTGCATAAATATCATTCAACTTTAACAATTAACATATATAGATAAAGTTTACCAAAAAATCGATTTTTTAATGCAGTAGCACGTACTTGCACTTATGTCAAATTAGGTAACGCTCTTCCGTGGGGGGGGGGAATAAAAAGTTTGAAGATCAAGATTATTAAAAATTAAATTTCAAAAGGAAGCAATTTTTTCTATTTTAATATCATGAAATTAACATATACACCCCTGCTAGAAATCCCAGCTCTCTCTCAGTCAGAGAAAAATAAGATTCATAATACAACATTTTTTAGTTTAAACCATGTTTAAATGTAGTTTAAAGCTTTGTGTTTCTGATTGATAAGAATATAGTTTCCCCAAATTTTGTATGAACAATTACGATATTTTGAATTTATTACTTTTAATGATATTTATCAAATTTTATATCTGTGCCATATAACTTCATCTGTACATCCGACTGACAGGGTTAGGATGAAAATTGTTAAATAATATTTCACTAGGTCAAGGAACGCCCAACTCAGATATACGCAAATGGTGTACCGTACACTGTGGGAGGAATATAAACAAACCCAGTGCCCCCACACAAGGAACTTTAACCAGGAACGCCCAACTCAGATGTACGCATATTGTGTACCGTACACTGTGGGAGGAATATAAACAAACCCAGTGCATAGCAGTTGAAGGTAAATGATTGAACTCTGATAAACAGAGTGATTTTACAGTCCAACTAAACAAACTAGTTAATATATCAAGTTAGTGCGGATACAACTTAATTATTTAAATATAATTTTGGCTTTCAGATATGGGAAATTTATAAATGCTTAATGAGATTTGTACAACTCGTACAACTATAAAGGAGAAGCAAGGTAAAAAGATTCCCACTTATCCTTGTTTCCGAGGTTTAACTTTCTTTTAAGATTTAAAACCTTTCTCCTTAGGTATAGTCTTTCCTAATGTTTAAATCCTTCCTCCCAAAGATTAAATTTTTCCTCATAACGTTTAACCCTTCTAGATCGTAATCCTTTTTCCCAACATTTGAATCCTTCCTCCCATGGTTTACATCCTTCCCCCAAGGAATAAACCCTTCCTCCCAAGGTTTACATCCTTCCTCCCATGGTTTAAACCCTTCCTCCCAAGATTTACATCCTTCCTCCCAAGATTTAAACCCTTCCTCCCAAGGTTTAAACCTTTCCTCCCAAGGTTTAAACCCTTCCTCCCAAGGTTTAAATCCTTCCTCCTAAGGTTTTAATCCTTCCTCCCAAGGTTTACATCCTTCCTCCCATGGTTTAAAACTTTCCTCCCAAGGTTTAAACCCTTCCTCCTAAGGTTTTAATCCTTCCTCCCAAGGTTTACATCCTTCCTCCCATGGTTTAAAACTTTCCTCCCAAGGTTTAAACCCTTAAGGTTTACATCCTTCCTCCCATGGTTTTAATCCTTCTTCCCAAAGTTTAGTCCTTCTTTCCTCCCAAGGTTTACATCAATTCAATAGTTTCTTTATTTTAGAACTAGATTGAAATGATAGAAGAAGAAGAACCAGAAGAATATGAGGTATTTTCAATTTCCACAAATTAAAAATTTTATATCGGTTGTAATGGATTTTTTCTAAAAATACCTATTTTCATAATCGTTACTTCTAATCCTAAAGATGATTATCAAACATAAAATGCAACTTATTCTGAATCTTATTCCTTGAAAACAGCTAACTTTAACTGTTTTCAGGAACCTATGAGTGCGGAAAATTCAGCGCAAAAAAGGCCTCAAAACAGCACTAATATATGTATGTGGGTTTATTGCCAAAAACTCCATACTAAAGTTCCCGGCCTTGTCAGAGTAGGCGAGGAGAAAACGAACTGTGATTGGATCGACTTAAAATCCAGAGGATCCTTGTTTTATCCTTCTAAAGATCTGTTGGAGGAAGTTGAAAAATATGAGAAAATATTTAAAAAAAATACATAGTCTCTGGATAGAGGACATGATCCTATCGAAAAAAAACAATTTCAACTATTACTGCAATAAACCAAAGATGGCCTAGGGAGGTTGTAAAACCTTTTGTAAATGTAAGATTTTTCAGTAAACTGAAAAAACTTAATGTAAGCTTGAAGGAAAATAGTAAAAAAATGTCAGAACATTGAAACAAACTGCTCAGTTTATGTTTTGGAATTATGGTGTGATAGAATTATAAAGCTTGACGACCTGCTTTTAAAAAATAGAATGTATAAAATGTCAATAAATAAATGTACTTAAATACGGATAACGTTCTTTTCATTTTTTCTCGAATTTTATGTTTTATTTATAAATGACTAATATTTAATGTGCATTTCCCAAACAAGTTTTTAAAGGTGAATCAGGCATACATCTTTATATGGGACACAATTACGTGGGCAGTCCTGTTAGACATTGAATTATGTCTACTGTCCCTTTTTGCATTGATTCCCATGGATCATGAGAACTTGTTTTTGCTTTTATTAAAACATCCGAATTTTACCATATAAAGTTTCACAATTTGAATATAATCTTTGTAATTATCATTTCTCTCTCCTGCCTTTAAAGCATATACTCGCAAGTACTCCTGCGTTTTATAATCATTATTCATGTCTACGATAGCAATATATCTTATTATCCCCTCTCCCACATAATTGATGTTTAGCCCCTGAATTCTTTGTTTTGATCTCCTCCCACTAAATTACACAAATTTTACGCATCAGATATGGCGGTTTCTGGTCTATATATTTCTTGCCCCCACAGAAGTTGAAGGGAAAGGACTTAAGTTCTGATGTGATATTACATTCCAACAAAAAACAAGTCAATATATCAAGTTAGAGCGAATAGTTATGATTTTTGGCTTTCTGGTCAATATGGAAAATACAAAGCAATATATTCTTATTCCACCCCTTAGGCCCTTTTCCCTCAAAAATGATGGGTTGCCCCTGAATTCTTTGTTTTGATTTTCTCCCACTGCAGTACATAGATTTGACGCATCATATATGGCGGTTCCTGGTCTACATATTTCTTGCACTAGGTTGCAGGAACTCATTAGTTGTTCTCAAACTCAAACTTTCTAAACTTTCTACACCTTACATATTTGCAACCTTACACCTCAATTGTTATCAGCTGAGCAATGTGGATTAGGAACTTTTGTGGATTTTATGGTAATATTACATCGTCATACGCAACATCCCCCCTACTGAACTTCTGACATACTACCTATCCGACCTACTACAATATCGGACCTATTGAGTAATTATTTATTAGAGAAATATAACAAAAACATACAAAATTAAGAGTTTCAGGAGAAAATATTTAAAAACCCTCCAAAAATAAAGGTTGTGGGAATATTTCCCCCCAATTCTAAAAATTAAGGGAAAAGGATAAAAACAGTAAATATTCTGTTCAGTTGTCTCGGGTAATCCTATTTTTTGTGGTTAACCCTTTATATTTAATCTGAAGTAATCATGGAAATTTTGTAATTTTGTAATTTTACATTATGCCATTAGAACCAGAAAACAATGGAAGACAACATTACAGCAATACTTAATTTTATTACAAAGCAAATATATTTAAATATAGATAATTATCTAATCACTAATTAAGTGAAATTGGTCTTACACTACTCAATTGCTCATGTGTTGTAGGTTCATTGAAGGTAGTCTTCCAATTTTTGCAGTTTTCTGGTTATCCCTGTATTTTTAAAGCTTTCTATTATTTGACGTTTTCTTGTGACAGCTAACATATTTTGCGGGCATGCAGTGAATGCAGTGGTGATTTATGTATTTTCCTCTTCTATCATAAAGCCTTGTAATTTCTACACAATCTTTATAACCTATTGTGGTATACCTTCATTATTTCAAATTTGAATTTAGTGTTAGATCAAATAATCTTAGTTTGACATATAAAGGCGTTAACCATCAGGTTGAAAAGATATGGCGATTAGAAAATTTGAGTTCGTGGCATATCAATTCCTTTCCCTAGATATTTTTAGATAAGTTATCCAAGATTCTTTGCATCTGCAGATGGGGGGGCCTTTATTTTTGGAGGGTTTTTAAATATTTTCTCCTAAAACTCTTAATTTTGTATGTTTTTGTTATTTCTCTATTCTCTAATAAATAATCACTTACTGGGTCCGATATTGTAGTGTAGGTCGGAAATATTTGGGGGATCTGGTTTACATGTACATCAATTCTTATTAGTGCACTGAATGAACAGCAATAACTAAATTTTTTATGTTCTTCACTTTCCAGTTTAAGATTTGAAAAGTGTGAAAGCTCTGAGTTCTAGGNCTAGTATTTCGCAAACTTTTTCTTGATTTCGTGTTTTTTCGCGAAAATGAATTTAGCGAAAAATTGCGAGAACTTTGCGAAATATCGCGAAAAAAATTACACGAAAAGCACAAGTATTGTAACTACAACCGCCTGCAACAATTAATTTTCGCCAAAAAAATGTAGAATTGCTCTTCAAACATTTAAAGCATAATTAGATATATATTTAATTAATAATTTCTATTCCTTATACTTCCAAAATGTTTGATAAAAATTTGAAAAAATTCCGTGCATTTTGCAGCGAAATTTTCGCATTTTTTTCAATTATCAATTTGTTATTTTGCGACAATTTCGCTTTTTTACGAAACAGATTAAAGCAACCTTTCGCAAGCGCGTTTGGCCGCTACCAAGAATTTAGCGTGAGGTGAGACATCTGACTATAGCCAAACTATTGTCCACTGTTCATGCCTTATCAGGGAGAGAACGGGCTCTGACCGAAAGATACACCATCGTTCAATCGGTTAGTCCAATCGATATCGCACTATGCAATGGTGGTGTATTTTTCGACCTATAACACATATCCGTCATATTCCACTTCTGACCTACGCCAAATCCGCTATACTACACATCCGACCTACTAGCACGTGGTATTACAGCTGCTACATGGAATTGTGGTGCCGTATATTCCGACCTAGATGATTCTAACCTAAAGGTTTTCTGACCTAAATATCTTAGGTCGGATGAGCAATATTTTTAGGTCGGATGAGCATTATTTTTAGGTCAGATGAGCAATATTTTTAGGTCGGATGAGCAATTCTTTTTTAGGTCGGATGAGCAATATTTTTAGGTTGTTTTACCAATAATTGCCATAATTGTGAAGAGTACCACTACTGTTTCAGTAATGCATAAAACGGGGTTTTTGAGGGGGGCTCAACACCCGTAGGGGCCTGTACATGCATCTATATTTAAAACATGGATAAAATTGGTCTTTCCTGGCTCGGCTCGGATGAGCTTAACCTAACCTGACCCTAAAATAATACTAAATAACTTAAATCATTTGGTTATTTCCTAGAGAACGGTTTTTGGACCCCCTTCCCCCTCCTATCAATTTTTTACATGACTTTTTTAACAATTTTCAATTAAATGTAAGACATGTGGCCGCAGTGCTCGGCCCCCTAGCCTGTCCTAGCCGCAGCGCTCGGCCCAGAAAGTGTCATAGCTTAACCTAACCCATGGCCACAGCGCTCAGCCCCAGTTAGCCTGTCCTAGCCGCAGCGCTCGGCCCAGAAATGAGCCTAACCTAACCCTATATATACACTAATTTTATTAAAAATTTTTGAATTAAAGGTCTTTCCTGGCCGCATTACTCGGCCCCCTTGTCCTAGCCGCAGCGCTCGGCCCAGAAAGTGTCATAGCTTAACCTAACCCATGGCCACAGCGCTCAGCCCCAGCTAGCCTGTCCTAGCCGCAGCGCTCGGCCCAGAAATGAGCTTAACCTAACCTAACCCAAAATAAATAATAATTTAATTAAAAATTGTTGTTTTTATGTTGTTCAACTTTATATTTAAACATTTAAAAAAAATATTACTCATCTATTATATAACCTCTGAAATAAAAATATTACTCAACCAACCAAAAAAATATTGCTCAACCGACCTAAAAATATTGCTCAACTTACCTAATAAAATTGCTCATCCGACCTAAAAAAATTTCTCGAAACTGACCTAAAAATATTGCTCATCCGACCTTAAAATATTGCTCATCCGACCTAGAAATATTGCTCATCCGACCTAGAAATATTGCTCATCCGACCTAGAAATATTGCTCAACCGACCTAAAAATATTGCTCATCCGACCTAAAAATATTGCTTAACTGACCTAAAAATATTGCTTAACCGACCTAAAAATATTGCTCATCCAACTTAAAAATAATGCTCATCCGACCTAAAAATATTGCTCAACCGACCTAAAAATATTGCTCAACTGACCTAAGAAAATTGCTCAACCGACCTAAAAAAGATTCTCAACTGACCTAAAAATATTTCTCACCCGACCTTAAAATATTGCTCATCCGACCTAAAAATATTGCTCATCTGACCTAAAAATATTGCTTAACCGACCTAAAAATATTGCTCAACCGACCTAAAAATATTGCTCATCCGACCTAAAAATATAGCTCATCCGACCTAAAAATATTGCTCAACAGACCTAAAAAATATTGCTCAACCGACCTAAAATGAATTGCTTATCTAACCTAAAATTGTTGCTTTAACCAACCTAAAATATATTCCCAACTGACCTAAAATATATTAATTTAACCGACCTAAATATATTTCCAATCTTTAGGTCAGTTTGGGACATTTCGCTAATCGAACCTACAGATTTTTAGGTCGGAAAAACGTTAGGTCAGAAAAACGTTAGGTCAGAAAAACGTTAGGTTCGTTTCCTCTAGGTTCGATGAGCGGGTACCGGAATTGTGGCCGCAGCGCCCGGCCCCCTGGCCTGTCCTATATTCGCGGCGCTCGGCCCCCTAGCCTGTCCTAGCCACAGCGCTCTGCCCAGAAATTGTCTTAACCTAACCTAACCCTCAAATAATACTAAAATAAACAGCTGGCGTAGGTCCGATATTGCAGTAGGTCGGAAAGTTAGTAGGTCAGAAGTTCAGTAGGGGGGATGTTGCGTATAGACGATGTAACATTACCCGCACGAATGTTTACCGGTGGATGTCGTCTTACTTTTCTATCCTCCCAACAAAAGTGTACACTATACATTGAAGAAGAAAAGATGGCGCGGGTCCAATGATCTACAGAAACCTAAATCTACAGTGAAACATGATATTTGTTGAAAGTTATAATGACAGTCGACAAAAATTCGTTTGCTGCTTTCTGGAAAACGAATCCCGAGAAAGGCCTAGATTACATTGTTAGGTTAAGAGATGTAACAGGTAAAAAAAGATTCATTAAAACGTAAGATAACAGTTTTGGGTTGGGGATATTTGAACCCCCCGACTCCGGGGGGTCCAAAGATCTAAATTGTCGGAGAAAGATATAAGATTACAGTTATTCGTCTTAAACAAATGTCACATACCTTAAATCTTCAAACCCTCACCCAACAATTACCCCAGTTGCACCTAGCTGTGACTAAACGTTTTATAAGAATTTTAAATAAGAATAAATTTATTATATAATCTTTCTAAGATGATTATATCTGAGGATGGAGAACTATGTATGAATATATCTATATCCTAGGTATATCTGAGGATGGAGAACTATGTATATATACCCTAGGTATATCTGAGGATGGAGAACTATGTATGTATATCCTAGGTATATCTGAGGATGGAGAACTATGTATGGCTCTGGATAGATCCAGGCAACCATCAGGAGAATTCAACCTTAACCGAGCAATTGAAATATTATTAGGTGAGGCATCAATCAAATTTGTACATCATGAATAAAAAAATTGTAATATTATCTATACTAAGATAAATTTTTATCGATACTAAAAAATATATTTTAATATACTTTAAAATATATAGGACAGGTGAAAAGTAACATTTAATGGGGAACACTTTGACTTCAATATTAAACTTAATGTTGGTTGATTGATATTTTAACGTTTATTACTGTAAGCATTTAAGCGTGTTTCTTAAATCTTAAACTTAATGTTAAAAAATATTTTTTTATTTATAACTAAGATTTTATTTAATCTGAAAATTTAAACAAAACTTCTGAGTTGAGAGCTTTTCAATGAACTGATTAAAAAATGTCTTAATGTATCTAGAGTGGAGTAGTGAACAGGGAGGACGGGTTGAGGAAGTAGAAGAGAAGATGCCACCAGCTCCTGCAGTAATCATGAACCCATCAGCTCTGCACTCTAAACGTCCGGTGGTTGACCTCACTGAGGACAAGGACGACCTTCGTCGAGCCATAGAGATGTCGTTAGCAGAGGGTAGTTCTACTATCAGTACAGCAACATCATCCCGTCCTGCTGGTGTCAGTCAGGAGGACCAGGATGTTAGTAAAGCATTGGAAGCGTCCTTACTTGAGTCCGTTAACAGCCGGAGTTCTATAGAGGGACAGAATCCTAATGAACGGAAGAGAGAGAAGGATGTAAGAAAAAACAGAATATTTTTTAAAATTTAGTTTTATTTCAATACTGATTATAACCCGTTGAAGGAATATTTTTGTACTTTTTATGGGAAATCGGATTCCTTAGTTAAAAATTCTTGGAAATCTATACCCCAGTTTCAAGCCGTTTCTACTTGTGCCTGTAGTGAATGTTTCTGTAAATCATATTCGTGAAATGAAACCTCGGATTTTGAATTTTTAAAAAAATAATTGCTATATTAGATTTTGTTCAACAAATTTTAAGCTTCATTATTACCCTCCCGCATCAAAAAAAAAATTTAGATTCATAAATTGACTTTTTTTTTAAATATTAATCTTTTGTTTGATCTAGTGTCCTGTTGGATTGAAGAATGTTGGGCAGACATGTTGGTTTAGTGCTGTTATACAGAGCTTCTTTCATCTACCAGCTTTCAGGCGTCTAGTTATTCATTTCAAACCACCCCAGGTAATACAAAATTAAGTGAATTGGATGAAAAGTTCATCATATTTAAGAAATATCTGCAGGATACTTTGAGAACTCTATAGTTCTTGTTTGAGAGGCATTAACATTTTCTGTCCAATTCGACTTATTATTTAGTTCTATATTTTCGAGATCAATGGGATTTATTTCTTAATCTAGAAATATCTGCAGGGGCGTATTTTGGAATTTTTCCGGGGGGTGGGCCTGAAAACCTCTGAAATCCCTAGATTTCGCTGGTCCGAGGGGGGGTTGTGTCCCCATAGCCCCCCCCCCTGAATACGCCTCTGATCTACTTCTAGAGCATTCTTCTTCCAGATTATCTGATTGCAAAGCTTGTTTTTGAATGCATTTAATTGATTGTTCTCTTATTTATCTGTTAATTCAATTCGGGGAATTGACATTTTCGGAATATTTCTGATTATTTTCCAAATGCTTCTCTTTTATGATAAATAATAAAAAAAATTGCCCCCCCCCCCTTCCCCTCCCTCTTCCTTGATTGTACCTCTTTCTTTGCATAACATGTTTAACTTGCTTCCAAATTTATTGCTTATTGAACAAAAACAAAATCAAGATTTTTCTAGTTTCTAGCTAAAATCACAATTTTAAATTTGTATTAAATTTATTTTTAGAAGGACCCGAGAAATGACAAGGAACGGAAGATTCTAGATTTTATGATTGAATTGAGAAAACTGTTCTCCCTTCTCCTGGGGTCTCAACGCAAATATGTTGATCCTAGTGCTGCTGTTGGTATACTCCGAGGATACCTGGGTGGTGGACAGTGTAGCTACTCAAACAACCAGCAGGACGTATCCGAGTTTACGCACAAACTCCTAGAGTGGTTGGAGGAGGCCTTCAAGATCAGAGATAAGGGTAGCTCTGGTTTACTGGACGGATTTACCAACAAGGAATCTGAAACGGAGGCTATGGATGCGGATACGGAGAAGTGTGATAAGGAGAAGGCTGTTGGCGTAGCTCCTGAGTCGGATAAGGTGGAAACTGCGGTGGCTAGGAGGAATCCAATGTTTGATCTGTTCTATGGTCGGGTCAGGATAGAAGGGAAAAATCAGGGTCTGGAGTTCTCTAGAGAGGAACAGTGTGGACAGTGGCCTCTTCAGGTTAATCTATTCAGTGATATTCACGATAGTTTAGAGGCAAGCACGGCACACGAGTTCATAGATACTTCTTCTCAATCTGACCTACACGGTGTATCCGGGCTTCCTCCATCTAGAAAATCCTGGCAAGAAAGATGGTTTACAACCCTTCCTCCGGTATTATTCTTAGAACTATCCAGGTTCCAGTATAACCAGGAGAAAGGGATGGCGGAAAAGATAAATAATTTTTTGGATTTTCCACTTGTGATATATATGGACAGATATTTAGAGGTGAACAAGAACATGACGCGGTCTAAAAGAGACGAAGTTAAAACACTGAAAGAGGAGAGAGAGAGATTAAAGTCGTTACTCCACTCCTACTTGGAGTACGGTAATGATAGCAGTCCCTTGATACCTCTAGTCAGTATACTAAACCGTACGATGCAATTTGCTAGATCAGGCGCTGAATTATCTCCTGGAGAGGAGGTTCTATCCCCACGAGAGATATCATCTCCTGGTAATAATGCAATGCAGGTTGATTCTCCCTGCCCCTCTCCTGTCAGTCTCACGCCAGCGTCTTCCATGGTGAATCTAGATACATGTGGCGGGAGCATGGAGAAATCTCCGCTAAAAACACTTCCTGACGGATCCCTACAGATCCCTATTCGAATAGAAACCCCGGAGAAGAACTCTTCAACTCCTATGGAGATTGAATCTGTGGCTGAACCTGAGCTGAAGCCTGATATCCTGGTTCCCAAGGTGTCTGGACCTAAACCTAAACATGTTTCTGATCTTGAACTCAAGGTGCTCTCCTCCTGCTTATCCAGGTGGAAACAGGAGATAGAGGAGGAACTCTCCAGTTTAAACTCTGCCTTGAAGGAGGTTGAAGAGAAGATCCAAACTATTTATGATACTCCGACCTTGAAGAATAAAGCTTACCAACTCCACGCTGTAATGGTTCACGAGGGTAGTGTTAACCAAGGACACTACTGGGCCTATGTTTATCATCCTGCTAAGAAGGTTTGGTTAAAGTTCAATGATAACAGTGTCACGGAGACTAGTTGGAAGAGTTTAAAAAAGGAGAGTGTAGGAGGACGAATGAGCACATCAGCGTATAGTATGGTGTATATAGATGCAAGTAGACCTGATCTGCTCTTGGAATCAGAGGCCGAGGGTCTCATCAACTCCGAAATGAGAGAAATTATTCCTGAAGATCTGGAAGAATATGTCCAAGAGGATAATAAAAGGTTTGCTGGCGAAATACTAGACTGGGAGGAGCAGAGTGTCAGGAAAACCAAGGAGATCGAGGAAGGAGTTCTAATAGGAGATGATCCTGAATGCCAGATTATCGAAACTAAACCCGATCTAACCCTGTCTCACGCTAAACTAGTACACGAGGTGACCAGTAACTGTATCCGTGAGATATCCAACCAGGAGATGGATAAGAAGAAATGGTTGAACGCTGTGATGACGGATCTGTACCAACGTGCCAAAAATAAAGAAGGAGACAATAAACTTGATTCATTCCTACAGTATCTGATGATTGTTCAATCTCCGAAGGATAGTGAGTTAGTGAAACGAGCACTCCTGGAGCAAATATTCCACCGGAGAATAGTGGAGAGAACAGAGTTCGAACAATTTATTATACGTGAAGCCGAAAATGGTTTGCGGAGTCCGGCAAGCTTAAAGGTAGCTGAGGAGATTTTAGCTTGGCATAAAGCTTACCATAAATTCAGGTAAATCAATGTTTTCCGGGGAGCCATTATTTTAACTTATTGACTTAAACCTTTAATAATGCCAACGCTTACCTCAAACTCTAATTTTCTAATCCCTATATCTTCGTAACTTGATGGAATAAACCATTGTTAAATCACATTTGGACTGTTAGTTCTAGCAGATCTCTTATAAAAGAAAAAAAGGGCTATACTGGAAAATTTAAAAAGATTATTATACACTGTTAATATACACAATAAGTTTTTTTATCCTTAATTGATACTTTTTCCCAAAAAATTAACTTTCCCAAATTCAGCAAAGAAACCCCAAATAAAAAATGGCCGCTCCGCTCCAACATATCTAACTTCTCAGAGGGGAAAATGATTTTTAAAGAATATGGGGGGGGGGTGATTTAAAAAAATATACACACCTAGGTAAACCTTTAAGTATCTTGCAGGCCCGTAACTGAGTTATTGTAAAGCCCTCGTTAACAGTTAAAAAGCACTTATTTTACCTTAAATAATAACTTAACTCATTTGGTTATTTCCTAGAGAACGGTTTTTGGACCCCCTTCCCCCTCCTATCAATTTTTTACATGACTTTTTTAACAATTTTCAATTAAATGTAAGACATGTGGCCGCAGTGCTCGGCCCTCCCCCGCGTTACGGCCCTAGTATCGTGAAACCAAATTCATTTATAAATATGTTAACATGTTTAGAATCGCTTGCTACTACTTCGTGTTGGGTGTAGAACGGTATCATGAGAGTAAAGTAGAAGAGGCGGTGGATTTACTCTCTACATCCTACATCATAAACCAGAATCTCATTGAGGATACACAAACAGGAACAGGAAATGAGGACAAGGTACAATTTTAATACTCAAGCTTTTTAATACGGAAAAATGAAATGTTTTAATTTAGCATATATTATATTACCGAGAAAAAATACAAACCTTGTTATTTTATTTGCAAAATTATGTTTTGCTTTTAATTAATCAAAAATGATTAAAAATGGTGTGTGAGATAAATAACAAAGACTTTTCGACATAAAGTAGAAAATCAGAAATAAAAAACTGTTCTCCAAAAATTAACTAGGTTTAGGCTGGTTATTGGTCGTATACAAAGGATATATCACAAATATATTTAGGGCATGAATAAACGAGGTCTTGTAAAATATTTCCACCTGGCGGTTGAATCTTTAAACTCGAAACTAGTTGAAGAATTCGAGAGAGGAAGTAATCCTTCGCAGGTATTTGGCCGATGCAGCCATGCTTTTTTTGGATAAAGAAAAAACATATAATTGTTCAAAACATTTTAAATTAATTGCAAATAATTACATTTTTTATTCAGTGATTCTCTGTAAACTATTTCTTCTATTTTTTCTGAAGTTTTTCGATTTAACAAACTTTTAATAAATGTTTTTCGAAAGGATTGTAAAAGTTTCCGACAAAAATACACAAATTCTTATTGATTGATTTGTGTAGGTTGCTGGGTTTGTGAGCAGGGTTCTGGTTCCAGCGATTAATATCCTTCAAGCTAGAACTAATAGCTCAGCAGATAGTGGTGGACGGGATGGTGCTGTACTGGAGGGTGTCCGGGGTAGATGGTGTACACTACTAGATATACAGATGCCAGCTGATAAACATGATTATCTTATATCTATATTCAATACTGTAGTTCCGGACGACAACTCAGGTATAAAGATAATTATACAGACACTGGGGTCTATAATTCGTTAATCTTGAACTATTGATCTCGATATCCAATGTGTTCACTTATTAATTTTAGGATAAATGCATAATTTCGGTCTTAGTCCAAGAAAAGCTAAAGTTTAGGCCTTAGTTTTTAGCTAGGCTTGGAATTTGTTTTTTCTCTCACTTTTTAATGTTTTTTTTTTCTTATATTTCTCAAGTAGGGTGTAGAGGATATCTGAACTACGTTTCCGTTTTGTAAGCTGTGTCCCCTGATGCTGCTAGAATATTTAGCATAATGTGTCAAAATAGATTTTTAGTAAAGCATAATGAGAAAAAAAGATACTCAGAACATTTTGAGGGAATTCTTGGATTTTGGAATCCGCACATTGGGCCCTGAAAACTTTCAGATCCAAACTTAAAATAAAAGTTATGTCTGTAAATTTAAATTTATCAATATAAAGTTAATAAAAAGTTTCAAAAATTACTGTAATATCTATTTTTGTGCGCTTCTTTTCTTCTTCTTTAGTTTCGAGTAAGCAAATATTAATTTTAACGATTTCGAGTGAGGGCTTATTCAACTTAATTACATATTTTATTTAAAGTTCAGATTTTAAATTCTTTATAAAACTTTAGTTCAAGTTTTATGTTGAAGATTACTCTCTATCGGATTAAATCTTAATTTAATCTTGATGTTGAGATAAAGTTTAGTCATTTAATTCAGTTTAAATTCAAAAATTTATCTTTATTCAAGAATTTTCTGTTTTAAGACCCCCCCCCCCATCCTTGAAAATATATTCCACATTATTCTATATTATATTTATGTTTAGTTGTAATCAAGCAGCCCACCATCAAGATATATCCTAAAGAAGCTGCAGATCTCAAGCTAGCAAACAGTTATAAAGCTATCATGCAGACGGTCCTTGCAGAGGAAAACTAGCAGATCTAGAACAGTTAGTACTAGCAGATCTAGAACAATTGGCAGATTCAGCAGAACTAGCAGATCTAGAGAAGTTGGCAGATTCAGCAGAATTAGCAAATCTAGAACAGTTAGCAAATTAAGCAGAACTGGCAAATCTTGAACAGTTAGCAGATTTAGCGGAACTAACAGATCTAGGAGGGTTAGCAGATTTCTTCTAATTCTGCGATAAAAGTCTGTTTATTACAGAAAATTTCTAATACCTTCAATTTAATCCAAGGATTGTATTACAACTAATATCTTGGAATGAAAATGTGATTAATTATATCCCCGTGTACATACCTTTTCTTGTACAGTGTACAGTTGCAAATCTTGGCGTTGTTTAACTATATATTTAACATTCAGGTTTCCTTGTTAAAATGCTTTTTTCCAAAAATAAAAATTAGAAAACTTGTGAAAGTTTGATTAATCTTGATGATAAACGAAATATTCTCACATACTTTAAAGAAAAACTAATTACAAAAATATTTTTGAAAAATATATCTTTTAAAAAGATATTTTTGAAAAATAACAGAACGTGAATCGAGATCGTACCATATTAGGAACAAAATAAGTTGCTTTCCTTGTTTAAACATTTCGATTAAGCGCTAAGTAAACTTAAGTTTTCTATTCAGTCCTCGATATAAAACTAGGTTTTCTATTCAGTCCTCGATATAAAACTAGGTTTTCTATACAATCCTCTATATAAAACAAGGTTTTCTATTCAATCCTAGATATAAAACTAGGTTTTCTATTCAGTCCTCGATATAAAACTAGGTTTTCTATTCATTCCTCTATGTAAAACCAGGTTTTCTATTCAGTCCTCGATATAAAACCAGGTTTTCAATAGTTTCTGTTTCCAAAAAGTTTCGCAGATATTTTTTTCTAAGAACCAAATAATATTTTTGTACTTAGTTCTCTTTATTTCAATAATTTTTTCGAGTTTTAATGATTTATGAAATAAATGGGAGTGTTCGCGAAAAATGAAAGGGAGTATACTTAAATTCCCTGTAACTGTGAGGGTAGCAATTCTTATTCCAAAACATGAACCTTGCAATTATTTTTATTGTGTTATGTAAAACAGCGCTAATCCCGGGTTTTTTTTTCTGAGTAACCCTTCACATTTTCTGCAGTATAGAATATAGATAGAATACTGTTGAAAAGAAATATTAAATTGCATTAAGACTAGATCAAGTTTTCAGTTTCTTAATTTGTACACTTATATTTTGGATATAATCTAAGGTTGAAACATAATGTGCAGAAACGTTAAAATTGTAAAAATCCCCCGAAAATTTATTAGCTTGTAACCAAAAAACCGTTTTTTTTGGAAAGATATTTGTCGGGGTAACTACCTACGTCATCTGTTCTCGGATTACCTCCTGTTTGTTGTTTGTTCGAGTTACTTGGTGGGTGTCGGAGTGTCGGAGAGAAAAAATATGTTTTTTTTACAAATAATTGAAGATCGTTACATCGGCCAATAGGTTTTAAAGGATTGTCCTCGAGAAATTAAAGAAACGGGTGAACCAAATTGAATTCATTGAATTAATAAACCGTTCTGTGCTGTTTTCTAAATTCGATGTTTCGTAGAAACGACATAATTACTATGCATAGATTAGTACACTTAAACTAATCTTAAACCAAGTTATTTAATTCACTTACATCATAAAAACTAGCGTAGATTAATTTAAAATTGCAAAGATTCATGATTTATGTAACCCCCTGCCAAAGTTTTAATTAGAAATAACATTATTTGTTATAGATGCTCGGATTTCTGACAAAGGAAAAGTTTTTAATTAATTTCAAGGTATTTTCATTTTCTTAAAAAAATTAATTCCGAGAATACACTTTTATCTTTAATATTTCTATTTAATGAAAATATGATAAGTTTTGAAAAGAGGGAAGATAAATAAACAAGAGTTCGGAGCTGGGAACTCTAGAATGGGATACATTCAACCTTTAATCCCGACTGCTTAACCCGAATATCCAATGTGGACACTTTTATTTTCTCTTGATTAAGACACTCTTTCTGAATATAGAACAGAAAAATAAAAAATTAGAGTCCCTCCCGTTTCTGTAAATTAATTTTAAATGGCGCGCAAAATTTCAAATTTCCCGGCTTCTGATACGTGACTCTGATTGGTTGAATTTTATACATTTTTCAGGATACAAGTACAAGATAAGGTTAGTCTCGAGATTAAGAAAAAGAGAGGATCAAGCATTGATCTCGATAATCGATATCCACCATTCTAAAGTTCCCAGCTCGGAATATACAAGTTTAAGTCAAAGGTTAAAGGTTAAAAGTTAATATTTCTAGCTTCCTGAAAATCTCTGGAAAGTTGGTTGAATTATTTTAACAAGGTTTTTTTTACTTTGCAAGAGATTTAAGAGATTTTAAGATTTAAAAAGAATTCAACCTTGGCATACTTCTTGCAAACGAAGGATTTATTGTAATCATGAATACCCACCTCGAACTAAATAACGGTAAACTACATGTGAATGAATATACGAATACAATGGTTCAAATTGTTAGTTCAAATGTATCTTTCAGTACAGTGATACCCAACAAGGTTAAGATTGTAAATACAACTTGAAACTCCGCAAATATGACGGTCCAAAGTTTAAATCAAGTCTTGTGCCTTTAAGCAAGGATTTAATGCAAGGAAAGTTATTCCAGAGGTGTACGCATCTTTTGTACTGCAGTGTACTGTCACTGGGCGGTAATGTAAACACAAGACGGATGTCGAAGCCTGACATGGGATTCATCCTTCACAGAAATAATCAATGAGATATTCTGGTCATAGGAAACTATTATGTGAATTATCAAAATTATCAAAATTCAATGCTTTTAACCTTCTCAGATACATAACGAACACTGAGGCATCTTTTCTGTTTACAAATTCCGCCCAGAGAGAACTGGTTTCAATATGTAAGCAGAGTATACGCAACAGCAATTAACTTTCCTTGCATTACATTCTTGCCTTTAAGTAACTTATCTAATGATTTGGCAAAGAAGTTTATTATTACAAGAAACTATAACGGAAACAGACAGTATAAATTACATAAAGTCGTCTCTGAAGTCTCATACTTGATGGGCCACCCTGTATATAGTAGAATATACGTTGTATAATATATAAACGTTCGGATACAATAAAATACAATAAAATGTGTTCATACACTTGTTTACAGCATTACACAAAGAATGAGATTTCAATGAAGACCTAAAACTCAATAAGGATTGAAAATAATTTTAAATTTAAATATCTTATAATTTGTCTAATTTACAGTTTCAGTGCAAAAAAACTGATTACAGTCATCTCTGAAGTCTGGTCTTTTGTGGATAAAACTCTGCATAGTTTCTACATATCGACCTACTTTAATCAGCATTGTTTTAGCCCTTTTTACGGTTCAGAAGTTGATATCCTGTTTGTATAATACAAGAAAGGGTTTAAGTTAGGGGTTTAGTTCCAGTAGTACAGCTATGGATTGTAGGATCCTACTCCTGGGTTTAAGTTAGGGGCTTAGCTCCAGTAGTACAAATGAATTGTAGGATCCTACTCCAGGGGTTACTATATTGGGTTTAGCTCCAGTAGTAGAGATGGATTGTAGGATCCTACTCCTGGGTTAAGGGTAGGGTTTAGCTCCAGTAGTACAGATGGACTGTAGGATCCTATTCCTGGGTTTAAGGTAGGGTTTAGATTCAGTAGTGCAGATGTTTTGTAGGATCCTACTCCTGGGTTTAAGGAAGGTTTAAAACCAGTAGTCCAGATGTTTTGTAGGATCCTACTCCTGGGATTAGGTAAATATATGCTAAAGAAGAATGTTGAGGAAGAACGGATGCGTGAGATACTCCCTGGGTTTCAGGCCTGAGCTAGGTTAGGATTGGTTGAGAATACCTGCTCCCGGTACGGGTTTGCGCTCAGTAGTGAAGTGGTACTCAGTACTCACAGGTGGAACAGGAGACGGTGAGACGAGTAATCCGTTTTATACTCCGGTGAAAGTTTAGTTTCGTGTGAACAGTGTTTTCAGGGTAAACAAGAAATTGCTGGTTTACCTGAAATAGTTAAAAAGTTTGTGACAAATACGGAGATTAATGAGAATATAGTTTAAATTCATCAGTTCTGGGTTCAAGGTAAACATTAATCTCAAGGATCTTGAGGAGTAGATATGCCAAGGATAAATTCCAAACATTTCTCTGGGATCAATCAAACCAGCATTGTCTGAACCAACCCAATCCTATATTAAATATACCAACCTACTGATATTGATATGAATCAATCCTATATTAAGAAATCAAATATTTATATGAAACAAATCATTGATTAATTAATTCCAATCATTAATAAATTGATCCCAATCATTGATTAATTGATCCCAAGCATTGAAGATTGATCCCAATCATTAAAATATTAGTCCCAATCATTAAATAATTGATCCCAATTATTTGATAATTGATCCCAATCATTGATTAATTGATCCCAATCATTGATTATTTCATTCTAATTTTTAATCAATTGATCCCAATCATTGATTAATTGATCCCAATCATTAAACATTTGATCCCAAAAATTGACTAAATGATCCTAATCATTAAATGCTCAATCTCATATATTAGTTAATTGATCTTAATCATTTAATGAATGATGAATTACTACAATAAGAGTGAATTGATTAAACAATATTTATCTAATTCATCCAATCACATACTAAGGATACAATTCTATTAACTACGAGATCATTTGCAAATGAATTGAATCAATACCTTGCAAAATAAATCATTAATAAAATATTATTAACTAATTTCTAACTAATGAATGTATAGTGAAGGGTATATTATCTAAATGCTGGCTGAGCGTGGTGTGTAAGGATTAAACCTGCTGTGGATTAAACCAAGCTCTAGAAAATTTCAAAATAATTTCAGACAATCTTCATTGTTATTTCATTCACAGGATACAGTCTTGCATAGATTAAAATAAATATTTTAGTATGCTACAATCATGATACAGTGAGTACCAATAACGATGAGCCTATTTTTGAAATTTGAACAAGATTTCCCCATGACGTTATTGTTCAGTGGAATAAAATGAATTTGTAGATTTACTGGATATTCTTTACAAAGATAGACACTGGATATGTTTTGACTTCTGAGCACCGCTTCTCCAGAAACCTTTTCTTAAATTCCAAGCATTCATCTTTATAAATACAATTATTCTATACTAACTAAAAATCCCTATTCAGCCCCTCCCCTAGGGTGCCCTTAAAAAAAATTCCCAGATGTGCGACACAGCTTTTAGGAAGCATTAGGGTAAAACTAGCTCAAATAAGAAATTTTAGCATTTTAAAATGATTTTCCTAAATGGGCCAGCCATTTCACTGTTTTTGTTTCAAACGTAATTCCATGTGCTGTCTAAAAATATT